GCATTAAGCCGCCCTGCAATCATATGCACATTTATGTTCTGCTTGAGGGCTTCCCATAGGCATCTAGTTGGCTGCTGTGAGAACAGGATGCTGGACTTGATGAGCCTTTTAGTGTAATCCAGAAGGGCTCCTCTTATGTTCTTATAGGGTAGCACGGAGACAGTGTTGATTGCAGGATGCCAAACAGGCTTCATGCGCCAGAATAGAAGTGGACACACCTGCAATAAAGCATGTCATCCCAGCCCAGGAAAATTGGCTTCACGTCCGGTAAGTCCCATTGAGGCAGCAAAATATACTTCTGAGTAAGCATGCTTAGGACAGTACTATTAATAAACAATGAAACTTCCTATGCACTAAGTCCTATTGAATGCACGGGGGCTCAACCCAGAACAAGCATGCCTACCTACTTTCAGTTCTCAGTGTCAAAATACTTCTGTTCCATGTTTTCTAAAAAGCCTGTCATGGCTGGGTCTTGGATAAAATCTAACAAGAAATTAGATATTAGTGTCTGCAATGATGTATAACCATCTGCTCTCTGTGTAACCAGATGTTGTAAACTCAAGTGAAAATGTTGGGCATTAGCTTTCTGCATCATACAGAGAGAGAGTAAATATGATGAACTAGATGGTATAGTTCAATGCTATATATTTCTACCCAGTATTTCTTGCTAACAGGTAAGTATCCTTGAGATATTAGCCTCAATTGGCCCTTGAAAAGCTCAATGATTGTTGCCCATCTCCGCTCATGAGCTCACCTGCAGAACCAAAGAGAAAAATAAGGGTTTGTTTCTTCCCAGCATGATATATACATGTGGGCAAACTGGAGAAGAGGAAAACAATACTTAACAAAAAGCATATGAAAACAGCGGGATAGCTGAGTGGTTGACATGACGGTTGATGCAAAAGTAGAACCCTATGTAATCAATGTGTTTGAACACGGTTGGTAGAGCATCTGCCTTGCATGCAGAAAGTCCCATGTTTAACTCCTGACATCCCCATGTAGGGCTGAGAGGGATTCCTGCTTGAAACCATTGACAGCTGCTGCCAGTCAATGCAGACATTGCTGAGCTAAATGGACAGATGGCCTAATTTTGGTATGGCAGCTCACTGTGTTACTATGTAACAAAAACAAATGATACTCATTTGACCTCGCAAATTACTTCCCAGTTTTCCACCTGTGTAATTCTCTGCTCAAAAAACTTCAAGAAATATATCTGAATAAATATGTGTGTGTTGTAGTCAACTATGTTCTATTCAGAGTAGACTCACTGAAATTAATGAAATTAAGTTCGTTATGTCAATTACCTGGATGTAACCATGTTGTGCATAACCTTGGCAAGGCCTGCCTTTCTGAGGAAAAGTCTTAGGTGCTACACTAATTACCTCTATTTCCCTTATTCAAGACTTTTGTTTTTATCATTCTACTGCATGAGGAGATGAGACTGATGCTGGCTTTCCTAGTAAGTTTATGACTAAGGTAAGATTTGAACTGAAGACTTCCTCGCAGCCCACACTTCTGGCAAATAACAATGTCAGTTCACATTGTTCTACAAAATACACATGTCTTCAGCAGGGACTCTATTGTTTTTTCATTTGTGAGACTATCATTTAACCCTGGACACTGCTATTCCTCCTTGGAGAGAGGGACTGACATTTGACTGTCATTCCACTTACAGGACTGTCATTTAACTGCCATCCCACTCTGAACACTCAATCCTTCTCGTTGCCATGGCAACCTACATTCCACCGTTTCTCCAAGGCCCCCTTCCTATAGTTTTTTATTTCCATTTTCCCCCTTGCCTGTCATAGTTTTCCCTACCTTCCATTTTGGTACCCCAGTGCCTCTGTAATACCCCCTCTATTTTTCTCTGACCCCTACCCATTCCTCAAGTCAATTCATCTTTCTGTTGCCGAATAAGCTCTGACTTCTGCAAAAATATTTGCAGTCCCAGAAGGAAGTACCAATGAGGTCAAGGTAGACAGACAGGTAGTTTATTTTGTTTTGGCCATAGGCCATCATCAACAGAGGTTATTTCCAGTACTTATAGACTTATAGACTCCTGACTTATCTTTATTGTTCTACAGTCACTGTTCTAGCACCCAGTTGTTTGTCAAGCCCTGTTTCGTAGGAATGCAAAAAGCTGACTTTCGATTGAGACAGGAACTATACTTCATCTATTTATTACTTCCAGATCTTACCTACATATGTAATTCCCCACCTGCCACCACCGGCACCATTTGATTCTCACAGCAACCACTTATTTTTTTAAAAAAATCTCTAAACAGTTTACATGACAGTCACTTCACATAGTGAATGTTATTTTTAAATGGTCCCCACCATAAGAAACAACTGTGGATCTGTCCCGTGTGTTCCTATACATTTTACAGTTTGGACTTTCTTACTGTAAAACACTTTGATAAACTTCTTACATCAAGCAATTTTAAGAATGTAAGCAGAGCTGTGCTGGATCAGGCCCATCTCAGGGGCAGACCTTGGTAATATGCTGCCCTGTGGTAGGCCATTTGACACCCTCCCCCCAGCCCTCACAGGCTTTGGGAAGGAGGTGCAAGGCTCTGGCAGGGTCCTAGAGCCCTCCTATCGCCTTCCCAAAGTCAGGTAAGTGCTCATCCAGCATTGGTACGGAGGACTCTAGCACCCTGTCAGAGCCCTGGCACCTCCTTCCCCAAGCCATATATGCACCTACTGGGCTTTGAGAAGGTGCTCTCCTCGGCTGCAGGCCCTGTACAACTGCACTGCGCACACTGCCCTAAATCCGCCTCTGCCCATCTTGTTTAGCATACTGTTCTCATGTGAATCCCACAGGACATAAATGTAGATATGATTACAGGGTCCAATGCTGTGCCAGAAAGTCTGCAAATTGTTCTCTTTGGACTGTCTGTATATCCTAAGTTTGTTAATAATCACAAGCATTTCATGGTTTTCCCACAGCAAAGGACTCTACTTCCTACATTGCTCCATCTGGAGAACTACCCCTTCATTCCTGCTCTCTATTTGAGAACACATTTATCCCATGACTGCTAAGCTCACTCAGGTTCAGAAGACACACTCATCCAAATGTTGGTTTAACTGCTGCACCATGCTGAGATAAAAGGACTGGGGAGGAGCAAAGTGGGTGGGGGTCCTCTTCAGGAGCCCGCACCTTGGCTTGGCTTATAAGAATATGAGAATGTTGGATCAGGCCAGTGTACCTTTTCTAGTCCAGCATCCTGCTCTCACAGTAACCAACCAGATGCTCCTGGGAAGCCCCAGCCAAAGCAGGACCTGAGCATAAGGCCACTCTCCCCACTTGGGATTCCCAGAAACTGGTGTTCAGAGGCAGTGGATCAAGAACAACATGGAGGCAGAGCATTTGCACCAGGCCAAGGTCAATGGGGGGACGCGGGTGGCGCTGTGGGTTAAACCACAGAGCCTAGGACTTGCCAATCAGAAGATCGCGGTTTGAATCCCTGCGACAGGGTGATGTCCCGTTGCTCGGTCCCTGCTCCTGCCAACCTAGCACTTTGAAAGCACGTCAAAGTGCAAGTAGATAAATAGGTACCACTCCAGCGGGAAGGTAAACGGCGTTTCCGTGCGCTGCTCTGGTTTGCCAGAAGCGGCTTAGTCATGCTGGCCACATGACCGGGAAGCTGTACGCCGGCTCCTTTGGCCAGTAAAGCGAGATGAGCACCGCAACCCCAGAGTCGGCCATGACTGAACCTAATGGTCGGGGGTCCCTTTTAACTTTACCTTTAAAGCCAATTGGATCACCTCTGTTTCTATATTTGTTGACGCTCTCAGAGAATTAGTGAGATGGGTAACTGATTAAATAGTCAACAAAAGGGCACAGCAGGAAGAGTTTTAGCCAGCACAATCCCTGCTATGCTCATTTTCTACTTGCAAGGAGGTGTGTTGTTTGTTATTTTAAACATTGGAGACCTTCACAAATGGCATACCTCACCTATAGACTGAAGTGAGATACAGTCTACCTCACCTTATTGCATCAGATACGGAGACTGGGGCACCTTCCTTTGTTGGGAAGATTGCATGTGATTACTGATAGAGGTTAAAGGCAATGGATGGTTTAAGGTAAACAGAAATCTCTCTGGAATGTATGAAAGGGAAAAACCAGGCCATTGACAGTTTGGCTCCAGGGCTGGCAAACTTCCAGCACCAGTCCCCACCACAAGCTATCTTCACACAACTGGGGATTAAGCAGTAGGAGGGTTCAAAGCAACGTGAAACCTGTCATTTTTGAAATTAGCAGGTTGCTTCAAAAACCACACACAGACAAGTTCTCTCAGAAGAAGGGAGGTGCCTACTAAGGATCAAGCTTGCTTGCGCCTAAAAGCTTCTGAACTGAAAGCTTTCCTTTTTGAGTCTAGATGAGTGAAGAGAGGTTGCAGAGGATGCACGGTGAAGGAATGCACTCTGTGCATGCTCAGAGCTCCTAGCTTATTATTACTGTACTTGATATGCTCTGAGTCCAAACAGAGTCATGCCCGGCATTTCAAAGCAGCTATGGGGTCGAACCCACAGGTTGTTGTTTTTTAAGTGCTGAACACCTGTTCAACACTTTCCACAAGTGCATCCTCCTAGCCCACACAGGATGCGCATCCACCATACATTGAAAGCACCTGTCTCCTCGCCTCCAGAGAATCCTGGGAACTACTAGTTTACCTCACAAAGCTACAGCTTCCTTTGCAGGATTGGGCGCGCGGGGGGGGGGATGTTATGTGCTTAAAATGTGGTTTAAACGTATGGTATTATGGCTCCCCCCCCCCATGGTCTCCTGGTCGCTCCCTCACACCTTTCCCTGTGCTGAGGCGCCGGCAACACCCCCTTCCCCCTCAAGCGGAATCCGCCTCACGCGCGCACCGGTGTGTCTTTTTTTAACCTCCTTTCCCCCGCTTCCAGAGTTCCGGAAACTGCGCGCCTGCCTCGCTCGCCTGAGGCACCTGCCCCGCCTCGCCCCCTCCCCTTCCCGCCTTTTTCCTTCTGCCGGGGCAGGAGCCGGCCGGCGGCCGGGCTTGGGTGGGGCAGGAGGGGACGGCGGAGGGGAGGAGCGCGGCTGAGGGCGGGCGCCAGCGCCGAGCCGAGGAGCGCTGCCTGGGACGGAGCGCTGGCATTTGTCGCGGGAGCTTCGGCAGGGGACGCAGCGCAGCGCCCCGAGAACAGCAGCAGCGGCGGAGGAGCCGAGCTCGGCCCGGGCGCGCCCCGCTCCCCCTGAATGACGGGCGGCAGGTTCGACTTCGACGATGGCGGCACCTACTGCGGCGGCTGGGAGGAGGGCAAGGCCCACGGGCACGGCATCTGCACCGGGCCCAAGGGGCAGGGCGAGTACGCGGGCTCGTGGGCGCACGGCTTCGAGGTGGTGGGCACCTACACCTGGCCCAGCGGCAACACCTACCACGGCTACTGGGCGCAGGGCAAGCGCCACGGCTTGGGCGTGGAGACGAAGGGCAAGTGGATGTACCGCGGCGAGTGGTCGCACGGCTTCAAGGGCCGCTACGGCGTGCGCCAGAGCCTCACCACCCCGGCCCGCTACGAGGGCACCTGGAGCAACGGGCTGCAGGACGGCTACGGCGTCGAGACCTACGGCGACGGAGGTGAGTGCGAGAGGCGGGCGGGCGGGCGGGCGGGCAGCGGCCGCCAGGGGGCGCGCGGAGATGGCGCGCCACGGCTTCCACACGTGCGCGTGTCCAATCCCCGGTCGCCGGAGTGCAGCGCTGCGCTCGGCAGCTTCCCGAGTTGGTGCGCTCGCTCTCTTTCACTTTTTATTTTTCCGATCTATGGTTTGACAAACGCGGGCAGCAGGTGCATTCTTTGGAGCGTCCCGCTTGCGAAAGGGAACGCGCGGCGCTCTAGGTTCGAGGAGCAAACGAAGAGGAAGAGAGCCTGCAAAAGTTTCGCCTTGCTCACCGCGAGGATTGCTCAGAGTCCCGTTTTCTCTGTAAAAAGTATCGACCCCACCACCGTGCATAGGTGGCAATCGCCGCGAAGCCGATGGCCCTTTGTAGCTTCATGCAAAAAGTGAGAGGCGGCTGACACCCTGCTGCTGCTGTTGATCTTCCGCCTTCTGGGAATGAAACAGGCGCCGATAAGGGAGTATTAGCACATTTGTACGGCTTGTCTTGCACAGGCGGTTTGCAGCGCAGACAAGAGATAATGCCCCCCCTTCTTTTTTTTCCTACAGTCGCACAGTTCAGTTCATCAGATACATCCGAGTGTGGGCTGTTGTCCACCAAAGCCTATGCCACAATATATTGGTTAGCCTTTAAGCTGCCATAAGGCTCTTTGTTGTTTTGGCCGCAGCATGCTAACCACAGATATTCCTCTGGAATTTCCAAATTGAATTAGATCTTCCCTTCAATTCTCCTATAAGCTGACATTAAAAGAGTGAGGAAAGTCCACCCTTTCTGCCACTCTGATTGCTGTGACAGTATGTTAAGTTGCTAAGGGGGATCTAATCTGCATTAAATCGTTTTTGAGTAAGCACCCTGTTATCTGCTTGGGCACATAATTGCAGTAGGTGTTGTGGGATGAACTGAGTATGGGCTGCCTGACTTAAATTTAGATGGTTGCCTAGGTTGCCTTCAGACATCCTTTTCCCACCTCAGCATTTTCGAGCAATACAGTTGCTTAGGTCTCTCCTGAAAACCCTGAACGCAGTTTTTAGCTTGCTCAACATCATGAGTTTGAGGCTGCATGTATACCACACGTTTAAAGCACACACGCTCACACACCCCAAAAAAGAATCCTGGAAACTGTAGTTTACCAGTCACAGTGCTACAATTTCCAATACTCTGAACAAACTGCAGTTCTTGGGATTCTTGGAGGAGGCAGATGCATGGGGTATTTAAAATCAACTTTTACAAGGGAGGGATTAAATGTTACGGTACTGTGTTTTCAGGATTGTTACTTTTCTTCACCAGCAGATAGAAATATTTCCAATATTTTGCCTTTCTGGAATGCAGAACCTTTTTGCAGTTTGTTCTTCTGTGCCTGATGGCCAATTCACACAGTAGCGTGTTAGCCCTTGACACCATGCTCCTGAGCCTGCTACTGGGTAAACCTCATTCTGGTTTAAACAGAAGCTGCGTCAAGATAGAGCTGGTACCCTAGAGTAGCATCAGGCTAGTTATCTTTTCTAAGCCACCCTCCTTTATTTTTCTGGGGTGTTCAATCAATAATTAAATCTCAACAAAAGCAAGGATCAAATAAAAAGCCGCTGTAAAACAAATAAAATCCAAAACAAAACAGAAATGTGATGAAATGACAAACAGGAGTAGCTTGGGGCCAGGCAAGCTCACCAGGGGAGTGCATGCCATAGGCAGGGTGCAAAAACCAAAAGACCCCTCTCTGCAATTGCCATCCAGTTAATCTTGGGTAGTGGGCAGAAGGTCCTCAGATGAAGGATAGAGAGCATAGTCATATTTGTATGGAACAAGACCATGTTCCCATGGCATTTAGGGATTCATAGGTGGTAACCAGGACTTCAAATTGTACATGGCAATAGGCTGGCAGCTTGTGTAGATTTTTAACTACTGGTGGGATGTGATCACTATAGATGTTTACAGTCAGCAGCCTAGCAGCTGAATTCTGAAGTTCCCAATAAATCTCCAAAGGCAGCCCCATGTGCCACATGTTTTAGTAGTCCAACTGAAAGTTTACCAGGGTACAGAAGCAAACTGTGAGCAGGGCATCTGTATCAAAAGAAGTTGGTGCACCAGCCATAACTGATGAGTTTGACAAGGCCGAATAGTTATAATTTGAGAGCAGTGAAGATGGTTATTGTTCTGAAAGCACTTACAGCATATTTTACCATCGATATCTGAAATGTGAACTAGCCTTACATCTAGGGGGGAAAGTTCCTAATTTCTTCTGGCAGCAAAGTGAGCATAACAGGGGGCATGAAACGGGAGTTCATTTAGGTCAGTTAAGAGTACATCTTGTCCAGATAAATTGTTTCCCTGACATACTGTACTTGTGTCATATTGAGCACTGTACAAAAAACAAAAATAGGCTGGATCCTTGCCATTTACAATTACAAAACTCATCTAAAGCTGTTGAGCTGCTTTTGATTTCTTCCAGCCCAAATGTATAATTGGATCAATCTATTTAAAATTTCAGTGCACTGCATACAATAATCACACAACCACCTCAAGCTATGGGAGAGGCAGGATAATAATATTTAAAGTAAATAAAACTTGGGCATATTTATCTTGCTTGTGTTAGCAATTAATGCTGCATAACTAGTATGTAGGAAGTTTGCTGTGGTACATTATTCTGCAAAATGTGGTCGGCAACACAAAAAAGTCTGTGTTTTAATATCCTAATCCAATTGCCCTTCATTTGGATAGAATTTGCCATTGATTTCAACAGAACTTGCTTCCAGGGAAGTATAGTCAGATCAGCGGTTCTGAAACTTATTTTTATGAGCCACAGTTTCAGAATAAAAATTTCCTCATGCCACACCATTTTTAATTGATAAAAAATACACTGGAAAACAAAAGAAAACAACTCTTAGCAGTGCTTGATTTAGAACACAACTGCTTTATAATACGATCAGGGGACATCCAGAAAGTATAAAACAATGCAGCTAGCTACAGAAGAACATGAACAATTCCCAAAATATATTTATAAACAAGCCTCTTACACATGTACCTTAAGTATGTATACAAAGGTATCACTTGATGCTCTCATTTTGAGAAATTATCTATCCATATTCCACAAATAAAAATAATTTTATTGCTACACTGAAATGTTCAAATGTTTGTTTGATTGTCCTTGAATCTTCCTGCCACATTTGCTAGCCTCTCCTGCCACACCCTTTGAGAACCACTAAGTTAGGGTATTAGAAGAAGAGAAGAGTTTGGATTTGATATCCCGCTTTATCACTACCCGAAGGAGTCTCAAAGTGGCTAACATTCTCCTTTCCCTTCCTCCCCCACAAGAAACACTCTGTGAGAGTGGGGCTGAGAGACTTCAAAGAAGTGTGACTGGCCCAAGGTCACCCAGCAGCTGCATGTGGAGGAGCGGGGAAGCAAACCCGGTTCACCAGATTACAACTACACCACAGTGGCCTAACTGCCCTGTTCTCTGCATGTTTATTGGCACACAGTGGGACTTACGTAATTCAGCAAAGAAGTGAACTGCATATTAACGCACACAATATTCCCCAGAACTTCTTCAAAAAAGAAAAGAAAAAGCTGTTTCTGGAGCAGGAAAGTGGCCACTGAGGCAGGGGAAGGGCATATGGCTCTTGCCCATCATTTCCCTGCTCTACATCATTTCCCACATGCAGCTAGCCTACCTGGCCAGGGTGGGTTGTTTTCATCATCACTCAGAGAGAATGAGTTAGCTCTTGGCTGGTGGTAGAAGAACAGAAGTCCATATATTGCCAGCTTCAAAATATGACTTTTTATTTTAACATTGCAAGACAAAACCTCAATTTTCTGGCAGATATCTCTAGATTTAGAGCATAAATCTGAGTGGTGCTTCAGCATATCCTTTGTGTTAAATAGAGACTAGCAACATTTTTAATGGAAAATGTTCGGCACAGTCCTCTGTGCAGGTTTACTTGGAAGTTAGTTTGGAAGTAAGGTTGCCTCAGTGCAGGACTGTAGCGTCAGAGTTCTTTTGTCAAAAGACCAATTCCTAATTCTCATCCAACTGGCCATGCAATTTTATTTGCAAGGCTGGATTGTATAGTGATCTGGGGGGTGGGATGTTGTGTGCTTTAAAATCTAAGGTTCGTGTGTTAGACGTCATTAATAAGAAGTACCAAACATGCCTTTCTGTCGTGTTTGTGGGTGGCCGCTTTTTCTCAGCTGTTGGAAGAACAATATGTGAGAATAAAAAGTAAATATTAACTATGAAAGATAAATATTTTATTCCAAAGGAATACATTTGCTAAAACATCAAATGTTTATTTCAAATGGGTTTTTGTAGTTTGTTGACATTGTTTTAAACAAAAGAGAATCCTAATCTGCATCTTGCTTGTTTTAATATTTGTAGTTCATATATTTTATACACTATATATATTATAATCTTTAAACTATGGGTTGTATACAACTAAGGTATGGATATTGAAATCAATTGACTTATTTGCATTGTTAGTTATTTCAGTGTGTCTGCTCTGAGTATGATTCATAATTGGCCGGGAGTGTTCAGATCTGGGTACTGGAATGTTTCTTAAAATACTTTTCAGGTGACACGAATTTTATTTTTTTCTGCACCTAAGATATGCAATAAAATATGTGTGCTGTAATCCTAGAGCATGCTGTGTATTAAGTAATAACTTAAAGAAATGAAATACAAAAATGTATAGCAAAAACATTTTAAATCCAGGCTGAAACTTTTTTGATAAATTTTGTTGCATTGATTGATGGTTTAAAAAAATGGGAATGATAAATCAGCACTGTCAACAGAAAATGAAATAGGAAACCATATGTAAAAAATGTACGTCAAGATATGCATAAGCTAATTGTATGACCACTCAAAATCACAGGCAGAGAGGCTTCATTGCTCCAAGAAAGTGTCCAACAATACATGTTATCCCCAAATTATCGAAAGTTTGGGATGAGTAAGGCTGCAATTGTATGCATGCTCACATGAGAGTAAATCTCTTTTAAAATCGATTGGCCCCAGTGAACAAGTTCAGCATTGTCTTCCACATATCATTGAAGGCAATAGAACATGTTAGTTAGTTGCAACTAACTTAAATCCCAGTGCTTTAAATTAGTTGAATTTAAAGGCATTGGGGTTTAGATGCAAGAAGCTTACTCAATGGCCTTGGGAATGAAGCTTCAGACATGAAGCTCACTGAGTAAACGTAATTACTTACTTACGTTACACCATGATGCTGTTAACAGCAATGGAGATCCTGTGGCCCATGGTTCAAATTAGGCTTGCCAGGCCTCCAAATTTGGCCTGTGAGGCTCTTTGGGGCAAGCCATGTGTTAGGTGTGGAGATCTGTTATCTCTGATCTTAGAACTTAGTACTGCAGTGCTAAGATGAGAGATAAGCCCCTGCTCTTTGACAGTAAAAAGCATCAAGCAAAGGCTTATTGCTGTGGTCCCATAGCCAAATAGGGTTGTTATGAGGGCATAACAAGTTAATGGCTCATATACATTGCGACCAACATTCACTGAGTTCTATGAAGGGTGCCTTTGTACATGAGTCATTCCCAATGGATGCAATTATGATAAATTTGATACCTCATTATCATTTGCCAACATCCAGTGAGATAATTTAGGGTAGCCTGTGGATTTCTAACCTGGTGGCATGTCTCATCAGAAACAGGAAAACTGGTAGGCCTTGCTATACCATAGAGATGTGATGCTACCAGTAGACTCAAGGTAAAACCATCCCAGGGTTCCAGACTGGGGACAAAACAGAGTGAATACTATCTTCTGGTGGGCATGCTGAAATGAATGTCCAACCAGTTGAATTATCTCGGGTTTGTGTTTGTGGTTATCACATAGGAAATAATTTTAAATACTTTGATCAGCAGATTCCATGCCACATTAGAATAAGCATTTGAAGCATTGTATATGATATATATAGATCATGGATCAGTTCCTAATTTGTTTAGGCTTTTTGTTATTTTCTATTTAAATCACTGGAGGGGCGGGGAGAAGCCTTTTCAGGCTGTGCTTATATAGTGGTGAAAATACGCAAGATGAATTTCCAGCACTGCTGACAAACTAAAATCGTTAATGTTTATTCATTTTCCTTGTTTCTTCTTATTTCTTTGGAAAGGTACATACCAGGGACAGTGGACAGGAGGGATGAGGCATGGCTATGGCATGCGGCAAAGTGTCCCCTATGGCATGGCAACTGTGATCCGTTCTCCCCTCCGGACATCTCTAGCGTCACTACGTAGTGAGCAGAGCAATGGCACTATTCTACATGATATTACTTTGGACAGCCCTGCTGGAACAAGAGGAGGGTTTGTGTTGAATTTTCACAGTGATCTCGAAGGAATTGGTGGTAAGAAGAAAGGAGGCTTGTTCAGAAGAGGATCCCTTCTCGGTAGTATAAAACTTAGAAAATCTGAATCAAAATCGTCGATTTCTAGCAAACGCAGCTCTGTCAGGAGCGATGCTGCTATAAGTAGGATTAGCTCTAGCGATGCCAATTCTACCATTAGTTTTGGAGATGGGGATTGTGATTACTGCCCAGCGGAAGACCACGTTGATGCCACCACAACAGAAACGTACATGGGCGAATGGAAGAATGACAAGCGCAGCGGATTCGGTATAAGTGAGCGCTCAAATGGTATGAAATACGAAGGGGAGTGGCTAAATAATAAGAGGCATGGATATGGATGTACCATGTTTCCAGATGGCACCAAGGAAGAGGGAAAGTATAAAAACAATGTTTTGGTCCGTGGAATAAGGAAGCAGCTTATACCCATAAGAAACACAAAAACTAAAGAAAAGGTGGAGCGTGCCCTCGAGGGTGCCCAGCGGGCATCTGCCATGGCAAGAACTAAAGTGGAAATTGCAACCTCAAGGTAAGTCATTTCAAAGCATTTTATTCCTTGCTCCAGTGACACAAACCAGAAACATTTTGTTAGCTAATAAGCATATTGGCCAGAATGATGCAAGTGCGGGTTTCAATTACATTTTTTACAGTGGAATTGCATAGTGTGACCCTTGGAAGATAACTCGGTTCAACAGTTTTGAGGAAGCACCGGAATGAAACAGGCTTATTGGATTGAACTAGATTGCTGTGCATCATAAGCATTTATTTTAGGGTGTCTTGAGTGGACAGATCCAGTTAGGAACCATATATGCATTCCCCATCCAATGATTCTCAAATATTTTTGGAAATATTTCTAGCTACTTGCCCTGTGATCCCCTATGAATGCAAAGTGTATCTCATCTTGATCAGATACCATAGGATCCTCTAAGGATTCTCCATATGGGCAAGGCCCATAACTTCTGAACTTCTGACAAAAGTAGTGGGGAATTGGTTTGACATTTGGATTAGCTTGCTTCGCTGTTTCAAGAAGTATGTGGGACGTAGGTATTTGCCATAGATGTGACCTGACAAAAGTATCTCTTGAAAAGCTATATTGATTTGTTACATGAGTGTTCTATAAATGCAACATTGTATTGGTTTTTAATCTTTTATTTTGTAAGCAGCAGCTTTGGAAGCATTAATGCTGAAGAGTTGGATACAAAATGAAAAAGAAATGTATTGGTGTACAAATTAATACAAAGCTTCCTGAGTATTTATTTCAATACAAATTGTTTTTGAGGGCCAATTCATGCTTCTTGCTAGTTGCAGCTGCCACCTGCTGGTTTTATTTATTTATTTCATTTTCCAATAGCTTTCCAATTCTTTTCTCTCTTTCAAATTCCCTTATGTAGGACAATGTTTCCATGATTGTAGAACCTATTAATGGAAGATAAACATTTCAAACCATAATCCTACAAAGCTCTAACGGTATTCTCAATTGTAAATTAATTCTTTGGTTAGGAACATGGAATTGATGAGTTCTAGGAAAACCCGTTTTGCAAGAATGATAAGGATAGATTGCTGGAAAATGATACGGATTGCACTATCCAAAACATATATTCATAATATTATGTGAAATTATATGGTGGGGAATATTATGGAGTACTTGCATTGCAGTCTTAGCAAGAAAATATTCTATAACTGAATTTGAAAGGATGTATTTGTATTGCACTATTTTAAAAAATGACCTTGTACAATTGACCCCTGACATTTAGAGCAAATCATCCTGCTTGTAGGTAATAAATCTTAAGTGGTACATTCACTGTACATGCAGCAATGGGTTTGGGGGTTTTTTTTAAGTAAGAGCTAGGCAGAAGGTTCATATGTGAATTATGTGATGAAAAGCAATTTTTAACAAATCTTAACAAGCAAGTGCATATAGAACTCTGGTTTAAAAGTCTGCACCTTGAAAGGAAATGTACACGATTATGCAATTTGCCCTCCAAGGAATGTTGGTACTTGATTCCCTAAAGAAGTAAGGAAGAACTTGGCAAGCATTATCAGCTAGCAAAGTGTTGCATCAATAGCTTAGTCTAAAATGTGTTCAAGGAACCATCTTATTAGACTTCAGATTAACAGCTCAAACCACCTTTTTAGTTTTCTCTTAGGAATGTAAAATTTGAAAAATGGCCTGCTCTTCCATTGCCTTTGTAAAGTTTGCATTTTTTAAAAGAGGAATTAAGTTTTTGTTGAAAGTTTTTTAATTTTTTGTCACCAAGGATTTGTGATGAAGGCCACATTTGCAAGTAACACTAGTGTATGGTTTATCAAGCTGCTCTGTGGATGAATTTAGTGCTGTCCCATGTAGCTTGAGCAGTCCCACTTCACTCCTCCCTTTGTGATAAATAAATCACAAAGAGGCTAACTTACGGTTGCATCAGAGCCCCAAGTGTGGTAACTATGACCACTAGCCAGATTGAAGTCATGGTTTGTTGTAGACTTAGCAATCCTGGATTTTTTAGGGCAAAGCAAACCACAGTCCTGGGTTTGGAAGTTACACTAAGCTACCCTCTGCAAGGTTTGTTTACCTGCTCATGGAAGGGAAGAGCAAAGTGTGGCTGCATGCACAGTATGGCGCAATAAATCATGTTTTTACATCTTAGTTTTGTGTACAAATGCAACCATTATTAGTTTTATATGTCCTGAATCAGGTCATTGATTCATCTAGACCACTGCTGTCTGCTTTGACTCACATCCACACTCCTGGGTCTCAGTTAGTCTATGCTAGTCCTGCCACAAATGCATCTCTTTCAAGTGGATAGGTCAGGAGTTGGAACTGTGGACCTCTGTATGCAAAGCATGTGCTCTATCACTGAGTGATGGTTTCTTCTTCCCAAAGGCGTAAAAGGTCCCCCTATGGACTTGCTTTTGAAAAGACTAGATATACAGAAGCAGTATTCAGTGGAGCAGCAATCCTTGAATGTATTCCATACCTCTGGTGTGAGACAGCTTCTTTAGTGCTAATAATGGGTTGACTTGAAACAGAATTGAACTGAGGGCCAAACTAGATGTTGCACTGTGTCTAGTTTTTGACAGGTATCTGTGTGTGTGTTTTAAAAAGCTGTATGCTGAGAGTTTGGCCAAAGGAATGGCAGGGGTGCTGATTAACCCTCTCACATCTAGCTGTTGTTTTGCTTGAAATTGCTTGTGGAAGAAATGATATGGAAGCTGCTTTTATATCTATCAGTCACTTTTCTATTATGTCTGGAAAAGCAGCATGGGGAAAGTTTGTTTCTGACGGGGTAAAAGGGTAAGTGGGTGAAGGTGTTAGTAAGAGGAGTAATCTTAGTAACAGGAAGATAAGAAGTAATCAATTGCTTCATTAAAAAAGTAATACTAGGACACTTTTCCATAGCCTATGAATATGCATTAGTTCAGGGGTTGCCAGTATGGCACCCTGCAAATGCTCTGTGTAGGAACACTCCTCAGCCCTTGCCAATGGTCAAGGATGATAAAAGGTTTGCAGGCCTTGCATTATGGCTTTGCAGATTTTGGAATGTAAATGTGTATACTTTCAGCTCTTGTCTCCTTCATTACGTATTTGCTGAGTATTACAGTGATAGGCATATTACACGAGCTGGTAAAAATAACTTTACTGGGCATCTTGGCCCAGTAAAGTCCAAGTAAGTTTGAAACATGACTACAATATGAAATTAAATACTGGGGTTTAACAGGATTAAAAAAAAATCTTTCTCTGATTGGAGTATTGCATATGCAGGCAGGTGTAGAGTACAGACAGACAGAAGACATTCTGAACCCAATTCACTAGGGGTAATAGTGAAGGATGCTTTATGCAATAATTATTTTTATTTCTGTAACTGTCATCAGCATGGATATTCTAGCCTTGCAATAACAGTTCTTGCTCACACAGAAATCAGGGAATGGAGTGACATTAATGACGGAGAAAGACCCCCAGTTCTTTGCAGTTGGGGATATGTGAGCTGTGTGTTCACAGTCTTGTGGCAGTGCAAAGATTCTTACTGCTCTGTTAGGTCTTGGTGCCAGCTCACATATTAAGCAGAAGTCCAAGATTGCCACAGAGTGAACACTCAACAGGAAGCTGCAGCCAGTCACAGGTCTCTGACAACTGCATTTATATAGCAAGTGTTTGCCTTGTTCACACAGAACATAATTAGGTAGAAACGTAAAAATATCTTAGGTGTACATCTATAAGATATAGTGTGCAGATTTGCCCCGTGAACATGACATGTGAAGTCATCAGTTTACAACTTATGTGGCAGTAGATTCTAGTCAGCTAGTATATAATATTTTTGCACAGAGAAGATATAATATTTATTTGGAAGCCCAGATCTGTAACTTCGAGACCCTGCAGCAAGTTGACGTAAATGTTGTTGGGAGACCACAGCACCACCCACGTCCAAACCACTGAGCCTCGTGGGCCTGCTGATCAGAATGTTGGCAGTTCGGAATCTGCGCAACGGGATGAGCTCCCATTGCTGTCAGGGCATCTGCCAACCTAGCAGTTCGGGAAAAAAGCATACCAGTGCAAGTAGATAAATAGGTACCACTTCAGCAGAAAGGTAAATTGCGTTTCCATGTGTTCTGGCACTTGTCACGGTCTCCTGTTGCACTAGAAGCGATTTAGTCATGCTGGCCACATGACCTAGAAAGCTGTCTGTGGACAAACACTGGCTCCCTCAGTCTGAAGCGAGATGAACGTCGCACCCCATAGTTGCCTTTGACTGGACTTAACCATCCAGGCATCCTTTACCTTTATTTTTTACCTTATAGCTAAGGGACAATTAGTATATGTAAAAAGTGAACCAGGATGAAATATTTAGTGGTAAAAACAGGATATATTAAGGATACCTGATTCCTTATATCCTGGTCTGATCACTGATTTTTTTTTGGGGGGGGGAGGGATCTTGGTTATCAGTCCCCCATGGCTCAGATGCATGACTCATAACTGCAAGAAGCTGTCTATTCAGTGTAGTGGGCGCAAGCTATAGAACTCTCTTCCAGCTGAGGGGAGACAGGCACCCTCTCTGCTGAACTTGAGGTGCATGACTAAGACTTTCTTCTTCCAACAGGCATTTTAAGAAGGTGTTTAGTTTTATTATAAATTACGTTATTATGTTTTGTGACAATATGTAGCAAAAACCATTATACAAGGATGTTTGCATCCTTGCTTCTCATGCCAAAAAGGGGGGGGGGGGAGAGGGAGGAAAGGAAATGGCATATGAAGAAGGGAGAGAGACAGCAAAACAAAACTCTATAATACCGTGAATGAGTTAAAAGGAGGGGGGGAATCATCATTTATTTTGCCATTCCAGAAACGTAAAAACAAGGCCCACCTCTCTTGATGATTAAGTATTGCATTTCTTTTATATGTAATTTTTATCATTAAAATAGTTTGCCAAGTTTTCCTTTAGCAATCAGTTAAGGTAGTGGAATCTTTATTTGTCCCCTTTTTGTGCAATATACTGTTTTGCTGTTGTTATCAGTAGCAATCAGTTGTAAATCAGTATTAATGACTTAAGGATGAAGCATCAAAAAGAGAGTTGTTTTAGGGTTTCTTGGGAGATCATAGCCTGTACATATTCATATAGTATTTAGTACTTCTGTCCAGAAAGGTATTTTTAAAAAATCTTTTTTTGATTCTTAGATATCCTTAGAGCAGGATAAAAATACCCTAAATTATGGTTAGTATATTACTGCACATTTTATGGCTCTTTAACATCTAAGATTTTAAATAAATGTGCACTTTTTATTTCAGAGGTAGTAAACCATGGACACTACCTTTCATTTAAAAAATCCTTCTCCGTGGTGACACATACCTGTAAGGCTGGAGAGAGAGAAAAATACCCCACCAAGCAGTGGAAGCAGAAAGTGCAGAGAAAACATATTGTCTGAACCCAGCACGTTACACTCATTTGCATGTTGGGTAGAGTTGCACTTTGTGTTTTAATGTAACGGTAGTAGGTATAAAGTAATGAGCAGAAATATGACTAGGCCACTTCTGCCTCCTTGTCAGCTAGAGCCTTCTCACTCAGGAAGAGTGCTGGTGCTAGTTTGCCCCAAACATAACTGACCCCTGGAGAGCAAGGCTCAGAGAGCTGGTGTTTTTCTCTTTGTGAAGGAGAGAAGATTGAAGGGCTGAACTAGTCTCCTGTTGAATACTACAATTAGTGGCTGAAACACTACTGGCTGAATTCATTATTGTTGAAATCCACCTAGGAGGGGAAGCTTGGAGCCACCCTTGGACCTTGCTTAGCAATTCCTTTTAGCTTGGAACTTGCAGAGCCACAGAAATCATCCTCTCTTGCCGCCTGCTGAGGTCTCCTCTTGAGGCAAACCCTACTTACTATACTACTGCTCCCTCCCTGCTTCTTTGTGGAATGATCTCCCCTTGGTGATTAGGCAGGCATCAGTTGTAGAGTACTTACAGCATGCTATTTGCTCAGGCATTCCCAGACCATTAGTGCCAGTTTTAGCACCCAAATATTAATATTTTACTAGCATGTTTTTATGGATGTGTTTGATGATTTGTTATATTGTTATATAACAATATTTCTTATATTGTTTTGGTTGTAAATTACGTTGGTATTGTCAGGAGTGAAAGGGGTATAGAAATAGTTTTGTAAGTACATAAATGTAAGTTTGCCAACTTTTTTTTCATTTTTAGAAAAGAGGCCTTGTTCCTTCACTTTTGTACAGATCCTTTATTAGGCAATTAATAACTTGTTCAGCCTTTGGCAACCTGGTGCTCTGCTGATGTTTTAGACTACAACTCCCATCAGCCCCAGTGGGCACATGCTGATGCAAATTGTAGTCCAAATTAGGAGGGCACCAGGTTAGTGAAATCTGAACAAATGCATTTAGCACAGCCCTTAACCATGATGGTTGGCTAAAATGAAAAGAAAATGGGTTTGAATCAAGCCATATTTATTTTAAGCATCCCCCTACACAGCTTTTAATATAAAATTCCTAAGGCAACTAACATATTTTAAAACCAGTAATAATGGTTTAAAGCAATATAATGCTTGAGACATTTAAAACCCTTTAAAGGCCAAACAAAATCCCTGAGGAAACAAAATTGTTTTTTTACTGGATACTGAAAGTCATCAGGCATGGTGTCAACGACAGGAGCCAGGATGAGGTCAGTAATAACTCACATGGTGTCAGTTGTTAACTCTTTAGTCAAAAAAACAAACAGCTCAGGAGGCCCGGTCTAGTGAGCACAGCAACTGTTCCCGGTAGCTCTTGCTTCCCAGTGCTCTTTAAGACTCCTCCCCTGGTTCCTTCCCACGCAATCTGAGACTCCTCCATCTTGCTTGTCTTTGCTCCACCCTCTTCATACCTCTTTGGGTTCTAGTAGACCGGGGGGAGGGGAGCTGGTCACCACAGTAGTGGGAGACAGACTGACTTCTTCACCAGCCTGACTCTTCTCTGCCTCTTGGGCCCTCTCCTCTCCAGCCTCCTCTTCTGTCTCTGATTCTTGACTGCTTTCTGCCACAGGGTCTTTCTGCTCAATAAACCCCGTTACCTTTTTAGCTTCCAACAGCTCCTCCCAGTCTGCTCCCTCTTCTCCCTCTGATCACTCATTGTCATCCCACCACCAATCCCCTGAGTCTGAGCCTTCTTCCCTTTGGGGTTCTCCAACTAGTACCTGCCACCACCACTGCAGCCAGTCCATGACACATGGAGCCAAGTAATTAGATAAGGGTGGGAGCACCATGAGTCAGTCCTCTAGCACAGCAGGTGCATATTGAAGCAAGACACCTGTCAAATGTACATGTCTTAGACCAGGTGTATCTAAATTGTGAGCTTCCAAATGAATCCTCTCATCCCCTAAAATTGGCAGTTCTGACTGGGGTTGGAGTCCAACAAAATCTGAAAGGCTTCTGCCTCTCCACTATTGTCCATTTGTGGTTCTCATAATTAAAACAAATGGGTTGTATTCAATGTGGTGTTAAGTAGATCATTGCATCAGCGCAAGGATTTCTTCTAGCACAATTGAAACATCTCCCTATCTCCTCCCACGTATGTCCCTTAAAGCTGTTCTGGGGGTTCCTTCAACCCTCCAGAATAGATTTGGGGGTGGCACAGGAATTTATGTTGTGCTAGTGGTAATCCTTGCATTAGTGCAACCTTTTACTTTCTTCTTGAAAGCAAGCTGTTAGTCAGAACAGACAAAATGTACTCATTTCTACAAATTTCAGTTAATTACGTTAGCAGTTGCAGTTAACATATGAGCCAAAATTGGTTCCAATGCTCGGAATGTCAGCTGCAAAGCAGAATCAAAGTTATGGACCTGAACCCCGATTTTCTGGTCAACTCCATTACCAGCCAACTATACTTCAGTCTTGTGTGGAGTGAGCTTCAGTTTGTTGGCCCTCTTTCAGAACTTTACTGACTTGGACACCTGTTCAGAACATCTTCCTCGCTTGAATTTGATGTAAATGAGAAATAGAGCTAAACATCATCAGCATACTGATGGAACTTCAAATCCCCAAACGACCTCTCCCAGTGGTTTTATGTAGCTGTTAAACAGCAGGGGAGCCAAGGTGGAAACCTGCTGAACCTCGCAGCATTAATGCCATCAGGCAGAGCAGCTGTCGTGTAGCACCATCATCTGGAAACTATCATTCAGGTAGGAGTGGAGCCATTGAAATGGCATGCCTGCAATTATTTGGCCCTCCATTCTCAAATGTGGTGTGCTAAAATTGCAGACGTATCAAAAACTGTATTTTCAGTTGCCTTGGAAAATAGCATTGAAACTGATTGTTTGAAGGAGGTTTGTAAAAAGGACTGGGCAATTTAACTGCTGATCTACCTGCATTTTGGCACACCTGATTTCTAAGCCACTTGCAGATTATATCAAACTTTAGTCATAGTAGCAGACTTACCTCTACTTCCTAGCTGCCATGTAACTATATTGCAGGTTTTGGCAACAGTGCACCCAAGTCTTAAGAAAATCATCCTTTTCCTCAATTTCAGGATAGTTTGTTAACTTTAAAGAGCTAGCAAGATTTAAAATGGTGTTGCTTGATAACAAATTTCTGTTTGTGAACTTAGATGTGTAACGAGCATTCTACTTGAGATTCAGTCACCAATAAACATTAGCAACCAACCCTGCCAACCGTGTGGAATTATGTGCAGGGCAGACAACTTTCCACTCTGGATTAAGCTGACGCTACGAGTCTCACTTTACGCAAGAACTAAACTGGGCACTTGTAAGACTAGTGCCTAGCAAATCTTTAAAATGCTTTACTTATTATAGATGCAATATGAATTTTGTGTTTAGGAATAGGATTCAGCTGATGCCGATGGTATTAATATAAGTTCGCTTGCTTTTGTACCGAGCTGATAGAACCTTTGAGCACAATGCTTGTAAGATATGAAAATGCCAAAGTTTACCCACTTTGATTGGTGGGACTGAGAGCAAATGCTTTATTTTATTGATTTGCTGTAACTTACTTTTAGATGTCATATGCCCTAAAAGCTGGGCTAGAATTCCTTTAACTATTGCTTATTTTAATACGGACATCTTGAATGAGTCAGAAAACTGTTTGACAACCAGTGCAATTTATCTATCCTAGTAGCTGCGTTTTGTACCAACTGCAATTTCTAATCGGCCTTTAAAGGCAGCCCTAGGTAGATAGCATTGCAATAGCCAAATCTGCTATAACAAGTACATGAGTAGCTCAGAGCAGGTAGGGTCATATACTTAACCAGTGTAAACTCATTTGATTGAGCTGCATGCTGTATAATTGAACTGAATTTGTGGTTCTATTGATTACTGCCTGTTTGCCAGTAAGATCCAGTGGAAAAATGGTAGAATTTCATTCCAGTCCTAGAACAGTTACAGTCGAACTGTCTGACCTTGGGTAGAATTAGTTCCCTTTTCTTCAACAGGAATAACAGTGGCATATTTAATGGAGAATAATACATTGATACCATAAGCCTAAGCAATAGAGTTTCTGAATAAAACAGAAATGTGATGTAAAGTGCAAGCACCTTTTGTTTTATTTTTAGTCTGACTTTTCAGTCACATCTCAGTTCATAGAGTTTACAGAATCAGGTCATTGACTTTGTACTGCCCTGGTTCCTTTAATGTAAGTGAAAACGGCTGATTAATCTCATCTCCAAAATTGTATATAAAGATATTGAAAACAGAAGGTACTGTTGCTAATTGGGGGGGGGGATGGTAAGCTCACACTTTTGACTGAAAGAGCTTAGCTATTTGGATATTTACTGCTATTTATTCCTTCCACCTCTTCCATTTGCCATCCAGAACTAAACCACTGTGTTATAGGACTGTGAGAGACTGCTGTGCCCTCAAGTATATTTGTGCAGTTCCCATTGATTTCTGTGGAAGTTGGTCATGCATATGTCAGGACAAAATTAGATTGATTTGAGCTGCAACAGCAGAACAAACAAAAACAGAAAACATGTTCACATTACGGAAGTCAAGGAATTTGCTGGTTGAAATGCACATTTTCATAAATAAAACTGACTGCTTGCCAGATATTTTGTAGCTGTGCAACTCAGGCCCTCATTCCTCTTCCTTCTTTCATAAGTTTTTATTTTAAATCCCAACCCCCATTTTAAGCTTTGACAAACTGTCTATTTCATTCAGAATCCCGTTAAAGTCAAAGGGATATGAGTGAGTACAATGCTCAGCGCATTGATCAGTCTCTTTGGCTGGTTTGAATTCTTTCTCATTAAGGGGGTCAAAAATGTTAAAGGGGTATGTCTGTTTTAAACTCCGTGTTCAAGGTGACATTTTCACTATTTGAATATTGGCTGTCCAGAGGTCACTAGGCTTTATTGTTCGACCACATTTATATGGGGTGTTTTCTGGGGACTAAACTGTTGTTTTGGTTATGATATGAATGTCATTATATTCAGAGATGAGTAGAATCTATGATCTCCTGGAAACTAGGGCACCACTGGAGTAGAAAGGAGCTGCATCACCAGAGTAATAAAGAGCTGATCATTAACTTCTTTATTTTTTGGGGGGGGGGACTTCATTACCCAAAGAGCACAACAACTACATAACAAAGGAAATGCACAGCATAGGAAAAACATGCTATTCATATAATGCGGATTTTGTAATCAAATGTCATGCAAACATGTACAACATGCTACCAAAGCTTCCATCACATCACCTACTTCAGGGATAGGAAACCTGCGATCCTCTAGCTGTTGTTGGACTAAAACTCCTATTATCCCTGACTAGCTGGTTAATCTGCTTGAAGCTAATGAGAACCAAACAACATCTAGAGGGCCACAAGTCCCCCTTCCCTGTCCCACTGGGTCATAATTAAAAACACCCCAACCACTTTTTAAAAGTTCACTGGACAATATTGTAAGAATGTTAGCAGAGGAAATTTTCTTCTTCACCACTCATTGCTGCAGCCTAGACTCTGTAATGAGCTCTTATTTGTGCAGACAGACTCTCCATAAGACTTTCGTCACTTCCACTCTAGCAGTCTGTCAACTTCCTGTATTGTCCTCAGCTCAGATGTGTATCAAGGAGCCAGATGGACTATGCTCAGCGGAAAAGGATGCTTAGGAATGATCATGTCAACTATGAGGGTCATCCTTGCAATTCACATAGTGGCTAGGGATTTGACAGACGCTTAATAAGCCTTACCAACAAAAAATCTCATCAGTGTCTTCCAGCCCTGCAGAGTAGAATAGTTACTATAGACCCAAACTTGAACAAGAAGTGATCCAACCATGACATTAAAAAAAAAAACAAAAAAAACCCTTCTTAGACCATCATCTTCTTGCCTGGTAGGGAAAAAAACACAGATCAATAATATGTCATGAAAGCTATGAAGTCTTGAGTCATCCTGGAAGTGGTGGTCCTTGATTATGGATGGTGAGTTTCTCCATAATAGTCATATTGGAAATTTTCAACACCAATCCAGAGAGCACCTCCATCAGCTTAGCCAGAGAAACTGGTGGACAGTGATGTGAGACATAGTTCAACAGAATTAATACTTGTTGTAATAATCTTTTGTAAACCTTTTTTGAGTGCTCTGCCTGAAGAGTGGCATATAAATACCTTAAATAAATAAATGAAATCCCTAATCTGTTTTGTGCACTGATCAAAAGAGACACTCCTGCTCTCCATATGGTAGATGGTACTTTCCACTTGCCACAAACTACATTTTCGAACTTAAGAAATGGGTGATAAATTTAACTAAGAAAGCAAGTGACTGTTACAGCAATTTACAGTACTTAATATGTAAATAATGTACATAAAAACATAGGAGCACAATTTTCTTTTTCTTATTGCATAAATGGTCTTGAAGGCTGCTTATTAAAGACCCAGTGTCTTTAATTGGCTACCCATGAGATAAACAAACAAACTTGGAACTTTGGCTATATTTACATAGTTTAAAAATTCCAAGTTTGTTTGTTTATCTCAGGGGTCAGCAAACTTTTTCAGCAGGGGGCCGGTCCACTGTCCCTCAGACCTTGTGGGGGGCCGGACTATATTTTGGGGGGGAGGGAGGGAAATGAATGGATTCCTATGCCCCACAAATAACCCAGAGATGCATTTTAAATAAATGTACACATTCTACTCATGTAAAAACATGCTGATTCCCGGACCATCCACGGGCCAGATTTAGAAGGTGATTGGGCCAGATCCGGCCCCCAGGCCTTAGTTTGCCTACCCATGGCTTATCTTATAGGAAGCCAATTTGCCTCATAAGTACCACAAATGTTGTTGTTGTTGTTCACAGCTGAAAATATGAAAATAGCCATTGAAACAGCTACAGAAGGCAAACACATTTATTATGCAAACTCATCCTTAACAATTGGCACCTCCATCCTACCAATTCACACAGCGCTTTTGAGACATGGGCCAATAATAGTCAATGTAGTTATGGAAGCATCCTGTGTAAAATAACATATTACCATAATTACACTGTGCAATCAGAATATGTGTGTGCATTATTATTGCTTTCTGCTTTTGCTATGTTGATAGCTGCATTGATTCAATGGGATTACATAGCACTCCAGTGTGGATGAAATACAAACAGCAGTGGGTTGTTACTTGTTTGTCAGATGTATTAAGAGCACCATCGTGCTTTATCACAAAGAAGATTATGTTAGAAAAGTGAACTCTGGATTAGCATGTAACAGAATCAAAGCTATTTAATGGGGTACTGATAATTCTAGATATAGCAGCCCAAAATTCCAAGTAAGGAGTATTTAATTCCCGTGCTAATTAAAATAAAAGATGAACACATGAGGTCATACAAAAGAACACTGGGTGATCTCCAGTGTTAGCCATACTGAAAGTAAACCCACTAAACACAACATATTTGCCAATCTGAGAATGTCTTAGTTGAACATCATTCAAAACCTATCAAACTTTCTGCTAATTAAAGCCATTCTCACACAGAAGCATTGTTTAACTATTGTGCAATGAGATGCTGTATTTTTCGCCCTATAGGACGCACTTTTTCCCCTCCAAAAATGAAGGGGAAATGTGTGTGCGTCCTATGGGGCGAATGCAGGCTTTTGCTGAAGCTTGGAGAGCGAGAGGGGTTGGTGCACCGACCCCGCTTGCTCTCCAGGCTTCAGGAAGCTCTCCGCAAGCAGTGGGAGTCCGGCGCGAAGTCGTTGAGAAATTGTTCCTCTTAATTTCGGGAATATTGGCTCCGGTGTGAGGGTCAGTACCGGGAACGGGGGGAGAGCAGAAGGCGGGGGAAGGGGGTGTCCCCGCCTCGCCAACAGCCCGCGGCCGCCTCGGCGGAACCAGCCCAGCCGCCCAGCGCTCTCCCTCGGCACCGGGAGCGCCTCTTCTTCCTCCTCCTCCTCCCCCACCCGCCTCCTCTTCCTCCCCCTTCTCCACGCTCGGTCGCGCGTGTCTGTGTGTTGGGGGAAGTGCGCGCACGCAAGCGCGTCTTCTCGGCCCCGAGACCGAGTGGACGGTGCCAGAGAGAGAGAGAGGAGACTGTAAATGTGCGTATCCACGCTCCGGCCACTGCCGCTCGCTGCCTTTCACTCAGGCCCAGGCCGTGCGTGTGTTTGTGCGTGCGCGTCCCCTGTGCCTCCCTCTGGCGCGCGCGCCTGCCCAGGTCCCCTTTCACAGCGCAGCCGCCTCAGCTGTCACCTCAGGCGCGAGTGCGCGACTAGCTCCGCCCGCTTCAACCAACATGGGGGGCGGGGGAAGAGGGGAATGGCTGAGGCGAAGAGCCGCGTAAGGTGCACGCGCGGCGCGGTATATTGTTCCGTCCTCTTCGCCTCGAAGGTGTACGCGCGTGTAGATCAGCTTCCTTTCCTCGCCCGCTTTTCCCCGGTCCGGCAGAAGACCCTGATGAGCGAGCGCTGCATTTGCTGCCGTCTGGGGCGGGGGGGAGCGCGCTCCCCCCGCGCGCTTGTTACCGTCTCCCTCAAATACAAACCCACGCACAGAGAGGCTGCCGCCGACCTCGCCCTGCCAACTAAAGGCACAGCGGGGGTGCTGGCGCTGGCCATTCTTTCTCTCCATCCCTCACGAATGTCCCCACTCAGCAAGAGAAGAGACCGCGCCAGGACTTCAGCCCTTTCTGAAGTTTTCAGGGAGCTTCGGTCTGTGGAGCTCCAAGAGTGCCTTTGAACATGTGCGGAGTGTGTTCTCTTTTCACACTAGCCACAAGTACTAACCCACCAGCCATGAGCCTACCTCTGATGGGGGCTGGGAGAGAGAAAGGGAGTTCTAAGGAGGTCTGTTTTAAAAGAGGTGCCACGCAATCATATCCTTGTCTACTCAGAAGCAAGCCCCATTTAATTCAATGAGTCTTGCTCCTAGGTAAGCAAAAATAGGGTTGTGGCATTAAGCAGATGTCATTTACGCATTAGAGGTCTTGCACACATAGCAAGCACTACTCATCAATCTCCCACCACCAGTCCCCTGACTCTGAGCCTTCTTCCCCTGAGGGTCCAACTTGGGGGTTCCCCAACTGGTGCTCCCACCACTCCTCTGCATCCAGCCAGCCCATGATAGTATTGTTTTCCATTTTTGCATCCTCTTTGTTGGTAAAATGTTTGCTTCAACAGCAGAAAGATGGGAATATTCCATCCTAAATCTCCATTCCTGCTTCATATTAATGCAGTTCCCAGAGTTTCCTTGTAGACGATCTATGGCTATTTAAACCCCCAGCAGTCATAATTATGAGGCAATTAAGCCCAACGCCAAAGTCTGGGCATGCCAGCATTTCCCATTTCACACTGCCCCGCCTCAGGCCCAGGCCCCTAAGGTTGCCCTTCTACTCCCTTGCAGCTCTCACCAGGCCACAGCCCTCATTGCCCCTCTTCACACCTTCCTTGAGTATTTTTGCATGGCTGGCCTAGAATGTGTCCTTGATCATGCCTATTGCTAGTCTGGATAGAAAAGTAAAATTCACTGTAGTTTATCCCACACATAATTACAATTACAACCCCCGGCTTGCGGAGAGCTGCCTGTTCTGGGGCTTCCCCCGCCCCAGCCCCGCACCTGGGGGGGGGGAATAAATTTTTTTTCTCTTCATTTCCCCCCCCAAAAAATAGGTGCGCCCTATGGGCCGGTGCGTCCTATAGGGCAAAAAATACGGTATATCTTCCTGGCGTTTATCCCCTTCCAATCCCCTCTTTGGTAAAGTTCCTGTGGCTGCAGTGGCAAACAAAGCAAGGTGTGTGTGTTTGAAAAGTGAAGACAGCAAAGCTCACAGGCTTCTGTGAACATACATTTGCACCAATGACACCCTTAGAAACTCCTTTAATAAATACAGCTGGACTCTTATTTTGATGGTGAGTTTAATTTTCCTTCTGGTTCCTGCACAAACTTCAAATAAGGTTAATTATTACATGACTGCAAGAAATGACTTTGCAAAACTCTGCAAAAGAATTAACTAGATATTTGTATATACTATTTAACATTTCATTTTTTGAAAGCAATGATAAACATCCCTCTATTTCATCCGTTTCTCACCCCAACCTCCAGTAAAGAAATTTCCCAGCTACCATAAACTCTCAATAAACTTTCAATATATTGAAGTAAGCCAATTATAGGGAGGGAAATGGAGGGGAAAGAGAGTAGGGAAGGAAGGCATGGCAATGGGAAAGGCCTGAGTGACAAAGTATGAACCAACCCAGACCCTACACTCGTCGTCTGAGTCCGCCCTTATTGTGCCTCCTCCACAAGAGGTCCGGAGGGTGGCAACATAAGAACAGGCCTTTTCTGTGGTTGCTCCCCATTTGTGGAATACTCTCCCCAGGGAGCCTTGCCTGGCGCCTTCATGACATATCTTTAGGCACCAGGCAGAAACACCCCTCTTCTCCCAGGCCTTTGGCTAATTAAACAATCATAGATGCCTTTTGAACTGGAGGCAGGGTATTGTTTTGTTTGTTACTGGTATGCATTTTTGTGCATGTAAACCACCCTGTGATCCTCGGATGAAGGGCTATATAGAAATTTTAATAAATAGTAATAAAAATATATGAGACAGATGAAAGCAGTCCATTTCATAGTTACATGTAATGGGAAAAAATCAATTTCCACCTTGTGGGGAACCTATTTTATCCTATGAGCTGCGTTCATATGGGAAGCCTTCTGAAGACTGCAAGCCACTGGTGGCAAGAGGCAAAAGTGGGTTGAGCAATGGATGTGACTCTTACCTTGGTACAATAAATAGGCCATGGAAAAGCCAGAGGTTTCTGTGCATGCAACCACATACCAGCCAAGCGACCAAGATGCATTATCACAGTTCAAGAACACGCTTCAGCCAGCAAAAGCATTCAAGAGCAGCACGGAGCAGGGCTGTTTAAGGGTGTGGCACGGGGGGACCTCTAAAGGCCAGAGGGCTGCATCTGGCCCCCAGACCTCAGGTTTCCCATCCCAAAGGAGTAGCCAATGTGGCATCCTCCAGGTATTGCTGTATGGAACTCCCATCACCCCTTGCCATTGGCCTTGCAGCTACAGCAGATGAGATTTGGAGTGCAACAGCATCTGGATGACACCACCCTGGCTATCTGTGATGCAGATGTTCAGGAATAAATGGTGTATTTGTTTTGTAATCTCCACCACTTGTTTCCAGAGGGGCTCTCCCCCCCCCCCTTTTAACTGACAAAACCAATACAGTGGTACCTCGGGTTACATACGCTTCAGGTTGCAGACTCTGCTAACCCAGAAATAGTACCTCGGGTTAAGAACTTTGCTTCAGGATGAGAACAGAAATCGTGCTATGGCGGCAGCAGGAGGCCCCATTAGCTAAAGTGGTGCTTCAGGTTAAGAACAGTTTCAGGTTAAGAATGGACATCAGGAACGAATTAAGTACTTAACCCAAGGTACCACTGTACATCTTCAGTCCATTGGTATGCCATTGGGAGGGTTTCTGTCTTCTGGTGCTGAAATATCAAATGCTTAGCTACAAGCTAAGGAGTTCATATGCCTCCCACAAATGGAACAGCTTATGTGTACATTACTGCTCTCTGGTGGGTCAGCAGAGAAGTCTGTCTAAATAAGGAAATGAATGAAATTCACTTATCAGCATTCAGCAGGAATATAGACCTCTGGCAACTGATACAGTAACCCATCTGGATGTGAGGGCGACCTGGCTGCGACATCTGTCACCCCATCGATTGCCAGGGTTGATTCGGCTGATCCGGCTGGCTAGGCTCCATGTTCATCCCTCCCAAAGCTGCGCGCTCGGTGGAAGAGAACGACCATCCCAGATAGGAGTGTACTGTTCTTTGGTCAAGGGTATACGATAGCTGCACTCCCCTGCTAGAACCTCCAAACAAGTAACCCATCTTTCTGCTGCTATCACCAGCTGACTTACTTATGCCTCATGTACATTTATCATCCAACTGTGTTTCTGGGTTGGGTGTAAAACATTTATAGTCTACATTCTAACTTCTAACTAAATGTTAGTATTCCTGCCCTGCAGGGGCTGTACTAGATGGCGTTTGGGGTCCCTTCCATCCCTACAATTGTATGATTCTGTCTCAGGTTTACCTTATATATTTATCCTGAAAATCTGGCAGAACTGGATTGTTAGATATCTCAACTGTATGGCTGCCAGTACCAGCTAAATCAGAATACACTCTGTTCTAATATCCATAGTGCACACTGCTATAATACAAAGCAAGTCAGTGATGGCAGTAATCTGATGCCCTTACTTCATTCCCAGGAATCTTGTTGTCTAGCCAGCAGCTTCCAATGAAATCAGTGACAGAGCTTCTGTAAGGCCTCCTTTGTTCTGTTAACATTAAGAATGTTTTTGTTTCAGATTGCTGTTTAGTGCCAGAGTTCGTTCCACTACTCCATCTGATTTGCGTGAATGTTCTATTTAATGCAAGAGTTAGGCCAGAGTAACTTCTTTCTCCGCCTATTCACCAAGGTGGTCAGTTCCAATGCTTAATAATTTGTTTATATTTTAAATTGCAATAGGGCGGTTTTTAGTCATAAGGTTCTCAAGGTAGCTCACTGATTATGCCAAATTCCATTGTGTTGCTTCTGGTGTTTGTTTTGTTTTTCTTCTCTGCTGTCTCTCTCCTTGACGTATAATCAGGAGCCTAAAGGTTATCATACATGCTGTGGAGTGCTGATGATTTGAAACTTGCTGCTATGTTTAAGACACAGGCATATATGTGTATAATATATAGCATTTGCATTTATTTATTTATTTTTGCTTGGTTCTTAATTTTTTTATTATTGTTAGCTATCCTGGAGCTCTTTTCTACAGGAAAGGATAGTACAAAAAAATGCACAAATAAAATACACCCACAATATTCATGTGTACAATACACTTCACTGTGTTTCACCATCACAACAATCTAGGACTGGTCATTCTTTTCCCTATTTCGCTAAAGCCAAAACAGTGACTAAGACAGGACCATGAGATTAATGCACTCATGTGTGGGTTGAAATTAATTGTGCCCTAAGCATACAAGTGTCTAGCTATGCTTCATAATTTCTTGGATGCTGAAACCTTGGAATGGAATTATTGTTGTTAGTATTTTGATTGCTTACCTACCTTTTACCATTAGGTCCCAGGGTGGGTTACAACAATTAAAAAATGCAAAATGGCAGAGCTAGTAAAGAAACTGGCAGGTGTGATTTCAGCTATTCTGGGCTCAGCCACTTTTGCCGTGCATTTTCTAGGCACAGATCTGTTCTTTCCTAGTCTGTGTCCAAGGGTTGGTTGGTTGGTTGGTTGGTTTGCCCCAGCACTTTCACCACAGAAACATGTTCTTTAACACTGAATCAGAACAAATGAAAATTTGTATTTTCTGCAGACTGCCATTTGCTTTGATTCAACAGTAAAGAACAGGGTCTTGTGGGGAAAGCACCGGAGCAAAGAAAACTTAAAAGTGCTCTGACACATACCAGGAAAGCATGGATCTGTGCCTAGAAAGGGTGAGGCAAAAGGTAAGTGTGAATGAGCCCAAGATCTAAAATTTATGAAAATTCTTGGAGAATAAGTGAAGTGCCACAAGACTGGAGGGAAGCAAATGTTTCCTCATCTTCAGAAGGCTGCAGGAAAGAGTATCAAAGCAACTGCTGATCACTCAATCTAGAACACACTGTTAAGCAGTCAGTAGTATGCCTTTTTATTGTTAGTTTTGCAGGGTGAGGATGCTAGGATTACAAAAAAAAAGGCACTTAGCGTTTTGATAAAGTTAATTAGCCTGGTCAAGCAGATGTATTATATCTTGATTTTAGCAAGGCTTTTGACAAGGTCATCCCTGATATTCTTGTTGGCAAGCTGGCAGAATGTGGGGAATTATTATTTTTTGGGGACTATACCCAAAGAATGCTAATGAATGGCTCTTTTTTAAGCTGGTCTTCACATGATGTCAAGTGATTAAGTTCAAGCCACAGCATTTGCATTTTGAATTAAGCTATGTCTGCAAGTGAAGAATTAGAAATGCTTCCAGGTCTTCCTTAGTGACTGCAGCTTGAACTTTCCCACGCTTGACGTTGTTTGATATTAGGTATGAGAAAGATGGGTTTGGGTCTCACAAAACTGCCTGGTGGGTCAAACACCTAGGGCTGACACCTAATCAGCACTGCAAGCTAAAAGTTCTCCACAACTGCTTTAACATCTGCTCTTGAGGTCAGCTTGCAAAACAGAGCTATCTATAGGTTTGTTGCCTTAAGGTATTATAATATGGCAGCAAAACATCTATTTGATGTTCCCACCATCCCTGACCATGACTGGGGCTGATGAGAGCTGAAGTCCAACAACATCTAGAGGGCCACAGGTTCCCCATCCCTGCTAAATGCACACATTCTTGTGAGTAATGCTGTGGTCATGGGTTTTCTAGCTGCATTTATACATCCTGATCAGCCATGGTTTACCATAACAGGGAAAAGCCTCTGCAAGCAATGGATCTGCATTCTCCTTCCTCTCATGCTTGTCCAGTGCAGCCATGAGGAGTTCACTTCCATTTTTGTTTATGCAGACCTTATTGATACAGCTTGGACAAACTGTTTAATCTTAGCTATGATTTGTTTGAAACAAGCCAGCTTCAAACCAGGGGTTATGAAACTAGCTTCTTTAACTATGGTTAAAGGTTCAGATAAACTGACAATTCACATGTAACACTGAGCCAAACCATTGTTTAGCACAAACCAGCAGGTTTCTGACAGAGAAATAATCACTGCTTATAAGACTATGCACAATAGATTACTGAGGAGGACAGAGATGGAGAATGTTTTTAGTGGCTCAGAAACAGACATTAACTGATGTACGGATGTGAAGAATCTCAACTTTACAAGTGAAGTGAATTTATTCCACTCCATCTCTTCCGCAAAAGATACCTTAACAAGCTATATCTTCCAATCCTTGGCAAGTTTTTTTTTCTATTTTGACATACAAATAAAGTATTTTTGAAATGAATTGTGGACATCATACTGATAAGCAGGATTTTTATTCTCTACCGCTTCACAATGTTCAATACATTGCTTATGTAAGTGCTGTGAATACCTCTTAAGACAACTGATGCGTACAGTGAGCTCTGCAATTTACGTGACCAGCACACAATACCATCAGTGTAAATGCAGACTTAGTTCTAGCATGGCACTAAGCTAGATTTAATATATCCCAAATGTCAGAGCTGGATTTTAAAGTAATTCTGCTTTCCCTGTAATACATATTGAGGATTTTCAGTATCCAGGGGCATCATCAGATGAAAAAAACCAAATATTTAGCTAGGCAATATCTAGAAGGGTTGCTTCCAAGATCAGGCTTGCTGAGAGAAAAACGCCATAGTTGAAGATTCTGTAAGCTTATTGCCTAGAGAGTTTAAATTATTTTAGCTGGAGCTCAGCTGTGACATTTGGGCTATGTTAATTGAAGCGTAGCACCATGCTAGAATCTGGCCTGCTTTCATACAGACTGTGTTGTGAATTCAGTAGGACTTCTGCTACAGACTTTTATGTGATCAGTTCCTCAGCCGTGGTCCTCTGCTCTGAATATGAATCCATTGTTTCAGATCAGCATAGGTTTTGATCTGGAACAGTTGCCTTGGGGCAACTGCCATTTTGCTATCCAAAAACAACTTCAGATGCTTTTCCATTGCCGTTAATCAAAGGGCAATCCTTAAGTCTCATGAACATAGTCTTAAATCGGATAAGCGTAATCTTTTTTTGTGTTGATGTGTGGGTTGCTCTTTTGTGCTGAGCTGTGGTTTGTTGTATAGTTAGTGCAGTGTTGTTGTATATGCAACTACATAGGAAGCTGCCATGCCTTACTTCCCTTGCCCAGTATTGTCTCTTCTGACTGGCAGTGTCTGTCCAGGATTTCTGGCAGGTGTTTTCCCATCACCTGTTACATTAATTGGAGGTGTGATGGACTGGCCCTGGGACCTTTGATGTGCAAAGCATATGCTCCATTCACTAAGCTGTAGTTGATACACTGTGAATTAGGTCAGTACAGAGGGTTGCTTATGTAGGCTCTTTGATAAACCACAGTCTCACAATGCTGGGTGAATTTAAATGTTTGCCAGCCATCAGGAAAACAATTTATATCCCTCATAAATATTTGAAGCTTAAAGATGGTGCAAGAGTGCTTATCAGTTTAATTTTGAAATAATTTGGGGGTTTTTCTGCATTTGTAACGAGGCTAATGAGGGGTTTAAACAAAATCTTAGAAGTTGCTTACATACTGCAGCATCTTTTCTTTTTAATATACAGCTGTTTTAAAATTAAATAAATCTAAATGCAACTTTGCAAGCTGTTCTGCAATTACACCAAAATTATCAAGCTGCTGGGTAATTAAAGCGATTTCAAATATGCCTTGCTGTGCAGTGTCTTGTATAATTATGTTGCTCATCAAGCATGAATGTACATCTAGGTGTGTGTGTGTGCGCGCGCGCGTGCACACACACACACACACACACACCTTTATAAACTGTAAATGTATTTTCACATTTTCTGCAGGCTTCATTATACCAACTGCATAAATGCAGCAAGAGACCATGTCAGGGGAGATTATTTATTTAATAATCTGGGTTGGAGAAGGCGTTTTGATAGTATCTATTTATTTCAGTTATATAATTCATTGCTACAATCCGTTAACAATACTCCCATGGCAGAGAACATGAATCTAGATGAACAATGTGTTCCATTTGTGTTTTTGAAATGAATGATAAAATGTAAAATAGATAATACTTTTACATTAACTGCCAATGTGTCATGTATGTATATGTGTGCACATGTGCATGTGCATGCACCCAAAAGATTTCTGCAGTGTTACAGATAACAGTAGCTAGCTTGGTCTTCTGTGTGAATAAACCAAGAGCAACTATTCTGAATGACTAAGCAGAGTAAATCTAGCAGATGATCTCCCATTTGACCACAACCTATGAAAAGGACTTTCCATCACATCCAGTCCAATGAGTTCTCTGGCCATTGGGCAGATAGTGGAGGCAGCAGGCTTTTATGATGAGGTCTTTCTACACATCACCTCTTTGAAGGCACTACTCACAGATACCAGCCCAAGCAGCATGGGTTTCGTAGCAGAGGCAAGGCAGCAATCACTAAGTACCTCTCTGGGATGACTCAAGTGAAGCAGCTTGCAGAACAAGTTGGGAGAAGAGGTATAATGGAAATCAATATTTATTCCATGCTTTATTTAGACCCACCCCCTCCACCTGCAGCAGGTTTTTAGATCCCCACTTCCTATTCCTTATTCCTTTATTGTGATTTGATATATCTACTGTGAACTTTTTCTTGGGAATGCTAACTATGCAATTGCATCCATTTATTTCAATGAAGCTTGCATGGTATAAATTCCATAAATTTGTACCCTGTTGTGAAATAATTGATGCTTCTACTTACATATTCAAAAACTCTGTTCTTCTTGGGTGTTGCCAACTTGTTTTGTTTTTTCGTTGCTTCTTTCCTGTTAAGCAAGTTCTGATCATTTCCTTTATAAAGACATGCTTCAGATTTTTTTCTGGAATTGGTATTCCCATCCTACCTATTTGAAATTAGCCTCTCCCACTTCTGTTGTTGCTGTTCCTGTGTTGTTGTTTTTAAAGACTGAGTGCATAACGTTTATTCAGATTTTTAAAAGATTGTTCTGATGTTATTTAATGGAGGTACCCATACTGTTCTCTGTGTACTTCTCAACTTTGAAGACACATTAAAAACATTCATCTCCCTATGGGGGTAATAAATTAAAGCTTGGTAATTCAGAATTGTGTGAACCCAGCTATAATTAAATGCGTTCATAAGAACAAGAGAGTTACACCAGGAGATTTTTCAGTCTAGACTGAAGTTCCCAGTTTTGCCAACATTAAAAATATTTTTTCATTTGCTGATTAAGCAATATAAAGCAACAGTGTGCCTTTCAGACGTTTTCCATAACAGTCAGTTACATCTGCAATTCATTTTAGCCAGCTTACTTGGATTTAAGGCATTTCTGATTGTTGGTTTGTTGGTTTAAAAAAACCTGCATTTGTTACATGTGTTATTTTGACTACAAAATTCCGAATTTTAATTCAGCTACAACATTGCCACACAGAAGGTTGTTGAAAAAGCTTCAGTTAAGCACATAACCTACATGAAAACTCAGTTTATCATCCTATAGAAAATAGCAAGTTTGGGCAGCATTGAAGAAACTTTATCCATCAGCGCAAGGATATCTGCTTCTGCAACAGAACTCCACCCCTCCTCTCTCTGCACATATCCTGTGCCATCCCAAATCTGCTCCAGAGGATTGAGGGAACTACCAAAACATATATGGGGAGGCACGGGGAAGGATAGTGGGAGAAGTTTCCTTGTGCAAGCAGAAATCCTTGCACTGTCAAGAGCGAGTTAGTTGGATACTGCCGCTTATTTTTAATTGGAACAACTCTGAGAGTTTACCTTTCCCATCATGGTATTGCCTGAATAGCAACTCAGGGATATGCATGTTTGTCCTTGCAATAATACCCATATCTTTTCTCTCACCTTCATGCCAAGGTGAATAGTTATTTAAGATCCCTAAATCTAGGATCAAAACAAAGCTGTTGAGATGGGCAAGGAGAGATATCTAGTGCTTCTCCCCACTTTCTCTCTTAAGAGATAGATGGTTGCTATGGTGATTGCTGCTCCCATCTCATCAGCTATAACCTGGTTTTCCACATCAACTGAATCACTGCAAGCAAAACATTATCTTTATTCAATCATTAGATATAATATTGTTATATTACTTGTCGAGCATCAACATATTCACTTTAAATATTAGCTTGCCTAGCATATATGCATATATAGCACGCTTTTATTCAAATAATCCCAGGTTTATATAGAAAAACTTACACTAGAGCACTTAAAGAAGAGTTTATGGGTAGGAAGATCAAACCATTAGCTGTAACTTAAAAAACACAAAATATAATCCCCAAAAGACAATATTGTGTAGGGAAAACTACCCAGGAAGCATTTTTCCCATTACTTCTGGTTCTGCTCTACCGTTTTAGGAAGAATTATATATGCACACACAGAGACACACATAAAAATCTAGAATTTTCAGTTCAAATTTCATTGGTTACATTTCTGGGATTTGTAAAGTGCATTGAATTGTTGCATGAAAATAAATAACACTGCATGCCAGTCATCATCTGTGTTCTACAGCTTGAAGTCATTTCCATCAACTTAATCTTCCCTCTTGAACTGGAGTACTCCTTATCACAGATTCCACTCTTTGCTTCCAGCAGTATTTCAGAAGAGTTCAAAAAAGGTTGGAATTCGCTCCAGTGCACTGACGGTGACTTAATAACAAGACATTCAAATTACAAGTTATCTCTTAGTGGTGGTGTGTTTCACTCAAAGTTATTTCCTAGCAAGGCAGTGTATATCACTTGTCATTCAATAAGGCAAAAAATATTTTTAAAGATAGATGACTCTGACCTTCATGGGTTGACGCTATTTTCCTTCTTAAATATTTAAGGTGGGTTGGTACAATTACATCTGAATTACCATAATTGGGTGGATCTGCCCTTAGCTGCCAAATTGACTGGTGACTGGTTGATGCTGTTTCAGACTTGTAATGTGTGTGGCCTCTCCTTTCTGGTGTGGCCAGTTGCTACTATGAGCCAATTAGGCAAATACATACTGTAGTTTAAATATATGCAGGCAATATGCATGCTAACTGGGTGTATTTGACTGTCTGTGTCATCTGTGGCTAATTTTTTAAATAAACTGCAGAACATGTGATTGGAAGTGTATATTAAAAGATGCTGCAGTCTTAGAGAGTCAATCACTTTGTTTTGCTTACATTTATACATTAGAAACTGAATTAGAAGTTAAAGAAAAAAGAGTAAACCATTCAGCTTAAGTTAAAATGAAATGATGCTTCAGGTTAATATGGAAAGGTCATAACATATCTCTACAAAAACACATCATGTGTAATAATGATGCTGATGATAATGAATATTTTTGGAAATGTATGAATATCAAAGCAAGCAAGATTTGATGCATTCTGAACCCAAACAAGGAACTAGTAAGTGCACAATTATTTCTTTTTGAATGCATGGTATGTTTCTGTAATTTTAATTTCAATTGTCTAACCATAAGCTATTTAGATATGCTGCTTAATTACTGAAATTATTTCATCTGTGACTTCATAAATACATTGGGTTTTTTATATCATGAAATTTTTGGAAAGTATGATCCTGTGACTGAAATATTTCAGGATTGTGCTTTGCATTGTAGATTAACTACTGACTGGTTTGTAAATGATTTCTTGCCTTGCTAAAAGGACCAAGCCCTGTAATATAAATTTGTTGTTGTTGTTTAGTCGTTTAGTCATGTCCGACTCTTCGTGACCCCATGGACCAGAGCACTCCTGTCTTCCACTGCCTCCTGCAGTTTGGTCAAACTCATGCTGGTAGCTTTGAGAACACTGTCCAACCATCCCGTCCGCTGTCGTCCCCTTCTCCTTGTGCCCTCAGTCCTTCCCAGCATCAGGGTCCTTTCCAGGGAGTAATATAAATTAGTGTTGTGGTATTGTGCCATCTAATGCCAGCCTTGATTGAAACTAGTGCCACAAACCAGTGGCATTGAACAAACTTACTGTGGAAGAATATCCTGATCCTGATCCTTCAGTTGCCTCTTTGCTTTCTCTTGTATGCAGTAGAACCACCTAGAGTTAGGGTTATTACCTTTTCTCCTGGCAGAACTCTCTTGCTTTCACAAGTGCCAGCCAGAAAATGATTAGCCAGCATAAAGATGCAATGTCTACATCCACTGTCAGAGGCAGTATGCCTCTGAATACCAGATGCAGGGGTTCTCAAGAGAAGAGAGTGCTGTTGCCTTCAGGGACCTGCTTTCAGGCTTCCCATCAACATCTGGTCACTGTGAGAACGGGATGCTGGAATTCCACCAAAAGGGATGCAGACAATAAGGTAGTGGTGATAAACTGGACCCAATCTGCAGCTGAATCCTTACCTACTATGGATGCTTTAGTGAAGATGCCTGCATTGCAGGTGATGGGACTAGATGACCCTCACGGTCCCTTCCATCTCTATGATTCTATGAAGGGCAGATTAGAATTTTTATAAATAAGTAATACTGTCAAAAGGCTATCTTTTAGCTGAATATTTCTTAGCTGAGTAATATTTCATAGGCTATATTATGGCTCATCCTTTGCACAAACATAAATAGAAAATTATTCAGTGTTGTTTCAACAAAATTCTCCTGGTGTGCTTTGATTCTGAAGAAAGGTATTTTGAATATCCATAATGTTTTGATCTTTTGGGCTGTTCGTTGACTGAATTCCCATAGCTCAATTCTGCCATCTGGCCATTGCAGAGTGGGGGAGATCTCCAAAGGATTTTTGGATATTATTGCATAGACTTCCATTTCAGATTAATTGTGACAAGTTGCAGTTAATCTAAAGCAGGCTTCCTCAACCTCGGCCCTCCAGTTGTTTTGAAGCTACAATTCCCATCATCCCTGACCACTGGTCCTGCTAGCTAGGGATCATGGGAGTTGTAGGCCAAAAACATCTGGAGGACCAAGGTTGAGGAAGCCTGATCTAATGCACAAGTGGAAGCTTCCGATTGCCTCACATATGCACCAGAAGAAGAAGAGGGGGCATACTAGCCACAGACTCAGTAGAGCTTTTTCCTATAATCCTGAACTGGGGATTACCAACATGTTGCCCATGAACCTGCAAGGCCCCCTCCCATACAGAAATTATACATGAAACAAGAACTCTATCGTAGCCAATAGAATTGGTTGCCATGTGTATGTTTTGTATGGTTGCAGTGTATGTTTGGTGCCCACAACAGCTTTTCCCATTTGTAAATGTGTCCATGGGTCCATAAAACTTTACAGTCCCTGTCAACTATTACATCTAAATAAGGCCAATATCTCAATAGACTACTGTGATGAAAAGTGGAGCTTTCATGTTTATGAACATTCAGATAATGAGCATTAGGATTTAATACATTTTAAAACTGAGTGAGGTTCAGATGGAAAACACTCCCATTAAGTGTAAGCATAGGGTTATTAGAAACTGCAAGCATTTAGCTGATAAATTACAGCAATAAATAAACCACTAATTAAGACTGTACTTTTCACTCTTTGTGAGTAAAAATCTTGGATTGAAAAGGAACTTCTAGTATTATGTTTATTTTATTTGTTAAAGTTTTCTTTCAAACACACTCGAGTTTGCTGCTGGTCACGAGATTAAGTATAGTTGCTTTTTGCTTTAACCAAGAGGCATCTGCCTTGCTTACTCAAGAGGTGCATATTACAAAATTGGAAACAGAGTTCCTATTCTCTGTCTTTCCATTTCTGTCTCTGGGCCATAATCCTGGCTATCTGATTTGCTGTATTTTTCTGTGTATAACACACACACACACACACACACACACACACACACACACACACACACCATGTATAACACACCCCCTAAAATTTTAGAAGATGGGGGGAGATTGCCCATCTCTCACCTGCCTGGCCAACGGTAACACTCGCACACGGAGCAAACAGCCTCCTAACGCCTGTCCCCTCACCAGCAGAAGCAGCCTCTTGCCTGCCCAATTGCCGCAGCAACACCCAATCAACGCCACCCCTTGCCAAAGACACCAGTAACACGCTGCAGAACATCTCCGGTTCACGCCATCATCCAATCCCAAGTCTCCCCTAGGCACTACCCATGTATAAGATGACCCCCTATTTTAAACATAGTTTTTCAGTAAAAAACAAAAAAAACAAAAAAAACAGCCTTATACACAGAAAAGTACGGTAGTTTGCTTTTTTGTTTTTTATCCAATGTATTCTTAATATTGCTGCATTATCCAGCCATGGCTTTATTTAATAATTTGTGATTGTTTAGTTGGAGTTCAGTTAGAAACTGATTTATGGTTATAAACATTTTTATTTTTTGCAATAGTGGAGACTTACGGTAATTTCAGTTCTGCATTTCTTTAGGGCAGGGTTGCATGTAAATGCCTCTCTGTTTATTTTTTGGGTCTCTAGGCTAATAACTTTTAGTCAGTCAATTATATGCATTTTAATAGATTGAGTAATTGATTTAAATTTATGAATGAGTTTACACCTGACTAAAACCAATAGGTCTGAAACACAAATCATACTTCTTTGCTTTTTAATTATAGAGGTATGCTGTCCTTCTAAAGTAAATAATCTTACCTGCGTTTATCACAGCCTGAAACAGTAAACTTAACCAGATGTCTTATTCCCTTTTCTGTTTGTTATTTCTTGCTCTGGGTGGTCAGCCATGGTTTAGTCTCTATTTTAGAGCTAGTACTGTATGTGGTTAACCAATTTGGGCAGAACAACTTTGGGTCTCTGTGCTGGAAAAAATTAATTACACAACAGCTTTGCTTTTAGTTATACTTCGCTTCTTTACCTTGTCAAGATATTGATGTCATCCCCATAAAGGAAAATGTTTAACTTCTGTGGCATTTCACATTTGCAAAGGTGCTTCTTAATTGGGATATTTTTCATTTGTTTTATGTTCCTCCCACCCCATCCTTCCTCCTTGAGCATTCATGACTATTATTATTTTCCTGAAACATTTGAGTGTAATTTTTTTTACACATATGGATTAACCCACTGAAATATATATATATATATATATATATATATATATATATATATATATATTGAATGTTTTGTTTTACTTTTGCAAATAACTGGAGGGGGAAATGGTCCACACCAAGCTTTCTCTACCCTTGTTAAGTGTACCCCTTGCTATAATTCCAAAACATTGTTGCCCATATTGGATCTCTTGTTCTAGCTCTGCTCTGTAAACCACTGGGTTGTTCATTTTAATACTATGATGTGTTCATAGTAGTGGAGTAAAGATCCATTTTTTCAGGATCAAACTATTCCCCATTGGCCTCTCAATCTTTCAACATGGTGTTTCATTTAAAACCATCAGGCCTCTATGGGCTTTTATCCTTTCCAGGAATCAAATTATCTGACCTTTTTTAGATATCCTAATCACCTCATGAAAATCTTTCAGGCTCAAGCCTATTAAACATGAATGCCTTCCAGAGTCAACACTGTGCAGCAATCTCAGTATTCATCTTTTCCCTTTTTAGGATATAAATCTGAGCAACTTCATAGAATCATAGAATTGTAAGAGTTGGAAAGGACCCAGAGAACTATCTAGTCCAAACCCCTGTAATCTCTCCACTCTATGAAAAAAGGTGAATTCTATGTAAGGAGTCAGTAGTAAGAGGACTTAAAATAAAACTGCCAATGTCGTAAATGCCTTATACACAGTCTTGGATGTATAACTGGAATATTGTGTATACTTCTGGTTGATGCATCTCCAAAATGATATTTTAGAGTTGAGAAAGGAATAGAAAAGGCAGCCAAAATACCTGGAACAGTTTTGACTATTCAAAAAAGTTACAGTGTCAGAGGCATTTTAGTTTAGGGAAAAGACAAGTGACGTTCAAAGGAAATGATAGAGCTGAATAGAATTATGCATAGTGTTGAGAACATGGACAGACAAAAGGAAACTACTGTACTGTACTGTGCTTCTTTACATAGCCCATAGTTAAAGTATGGGATTTGCTCCCACAAGCTGTAATGATGGCCACCAACCTAGAAGGCTTCAAAAGCAAGTAAGAAAGGAGGTTCTGCCATACTCCTAGGGTTGTCTACTGCAAGAAACAGGATGATGGCCTTTGGCTTTATCCCCAGGGCTCATCTTAAGAGATGCAACTGATCTGCTTGCTAGAGAGGCCTCAACTTGAAGATGAAAACTATACCCCTACCAGCTAGCAATGCTGATGGTCTATGCAGTGTCTGTTCAAACATCATGTGGAAAGCAAGTTCTCCTTGGAACTTGTGGAAAGGAGAAGAATATGCCCGTTGAAATGAAGCCTTCCACATCTGGCAGATTTACTAATGCCTCCATCAAATACACTAGCTGTCCATGGCTTATCATTACATGTAAACACAGCCACAGTTAATGCATAAGAAACATCTGCAGAGACAGAACTGAGTCATGAAATCGTTTTTTGATTAACAGGTAAAAGGTAAAGGTAAATGACCCTGGAAGTTAAGTCCAGTCAAAGGCGACTGGGATGTAAAGCTCATCTCGCTTTCAAGCCGAGGGAGCCGGCGTTTATCCACAGACAGCTTTCCGGGTCATGTGGCCAGCATGACTTCACTGCAACAGAACACTGTGACGGAAACCAGACCACACGGAAATGCCGTTTACCTTCCCACCGCAGCGGTACCTATTTATCTACTTGCACACTGGCGTGCTTTCAAACGGCCAAGTTGGCAGGAGCTGGAACAGAGCAACAGGAGCTCACCCCATTGTCAGGATTCGAACTGCCAACCTTCTGATCAGCAAGCCCAAGACGCTTAGAGAGCCACTGCTCTGTGCTGTTGCATCCTAATAGAGAAGTAGACTCTTTAAAACTCATGGTATAATGAATGTATTACTCTGTAGAGAGCTCTGACTCTTTGACCTAAAGTAGATATTCATTTCTGAACAATTTTGGGCTCTCTACTTCAAAAATAATGCTAATGTGATAATAGGGTGGGTCACTTTGTACCTGGTGTCTCTCTAAAGCACATTAATCATTCAGCCATTTTATGTAGGTTGATCAGTCCACTGGCATAACTAGGTATAGGTCATGTGGTGGTCATGTTTTAAAATTCAGTGAAGCGTTTCAATGAAAGTGTACAGGACAGAGCTAAGTACTCGCTTAATTCGGAACGTTAGCGTTTGCTTTAAAAGATCTACTTGAAATGTATTTGGATTTGTGACAAATTTTCCATTTGCTTAATGGTAGCTAGTTTGCAGTGTGTTGCAGTTTTACTTTACTTGCTGAAGAAAAAAAACCTTTCCATCATCCTATCCAAACATAATGTCTTTTCAGATCGGTGGAAATTATGTGCTTGTAAACAAAGGCTGATCATGGGAAATAACACTTTAAAATATTGATATTCAGCGTTTGATACCAAAGGCTTGAGTCATTTATCTCAACTTGGAAAGCATGCTTTATTAGTAGAACTTTATTATAGGGAACAAACTGGACTTTTTGGAGCAGTGAACACCTGTTAAAAACAAATGTAAAGGTAAAGGGACCCCTGACCATTAGGTCCAGTCGTGACCGACTCTAGGGTTGCAGCGCTCATCTCGCTTTATTGGCCGAGGGAGCTGGCATACAGCTTCCAGGTCATGTGGCCAGCATGACTAAGCCGCTTCTGGCGAACCAGAGCAGCGCATGGAAACACCGTTTACCTTCTTGCCAGAGCGGTTCCTATTTATCTACTTGCACTTTTGACGTGCTTTCGCACTGCTAGGTTGGCAGGAGCAGGGACCGAGCAATGGGAGCTCACCCCATGGCGGGGATTCGAACCACCGACCTTCTGATCGGCAAGTGCTAGGCTCTGTGGTTTAACCCACAGCGCCACCCGCGTCCCTCCTGTATACAAAGGCTTTTAATATACGGTACTTGTTATGATCAGGAGTATATTGAGGTACTGTAATATTTTTGGCAATTCAATCACCAAGACATAGGTGTCAATGTTTATGTTTGGGAAAGGGCACAGGCTTAATCTGGCACCTGCAGGTAGAGCTGGGAATGTCCTGTGACTGAAATCCTGGAGAGCATAGACAGAACTGAGCTAGATGCATCAGTGCTCTGACTCCATATAAGGCAACTTCCTATATTCCTGTTAGGCAGGTAAGGATAGGTTAGACTGGAAATTGTCTATAGGTGTCCATGGGGGACCATATGACCATGAAGGTGGAATTCGTTAGGCTGTGATTCTTCACATCTTTTATAAAAGTTATATTTTGCTTTAAGTGTCAGGTAACTATAGAAAATGTTGATAGATAATAGATATAGGTAAGTAGGTAGGTAGGTAGGTGGGTGGGTAGATGATAGATGATAGATAGATAGATAGATAGATAGATAGATAGATAGATAGATGATAGATAGATAGATAGATAGATTTGAAGTTGTATTGTTGCATGTCACTAGGCTCCTTAAATTCCACTAATTTAAAGAACTCAGTACATATCCTGTAGTGGTGTAATAAATAAATGCATAAAATGTAAGCACTACCCCCCCAATCTTCTTTGTTTTAAGATTAAGTGCTTGTGAATTACGTGAAGATTCCTGCAGTAGTAAAATTCCCACTAAGTGTACAATTAAATTGGCTTACATTTTGTTGTGCTCATCATGGCGCGTATGTATGTTTACTCATATTGTAGTAAACCACGCTCAGTAGTTTGCTCTCAAACCCATTACACAATCGGAAACAAGAGAAGAGAAATGCATTCTTAGGATACTGCAGGCTTTTTTAAAATGTGAAGATAGTGGATGAGCTCAAGTGTTGCTCCATTCATAGACGCATAACTCTCTTTCTCTGACTGAAAGCTTACACCGTGAACAGTGGATACCACACAGTAGCAACAACTTTTAATAAAAGTTTTATTTAAGGCTGTTGGTAAGCTAATATTTGGTGAACTGAACAGCTACCTTGCCACTCACTAATCATATGCCTTATTTCCCACAAATTCTTTCTCGGCTTGTTGCTTTGCAATGCAACCCACCCTGTTTTCACAAGTTCTGTATTTCTTTCTCCAACCAGCTCTTCCTTCCCTCTTCCCTGAATCTCGTACAGTGGTACCTCGGGTTACAAACACCTCAGGTTACAAACACTTCGGGTTACAGACTCCGCTAACCCAGAAGTAGTACCTCGGGTTAAGAACTTTACCTCAGGGTGAGAACAGAAATCACACGGCGGCGGTGTGGTGGCCGCGGGAGGCCCCATTGGCTAAAGTGGTACCTCAGGTTAAGAACAGTTTCAGGTTAAGAATGGGCCTCTGGAACAAATTAAGTACGTAACCAGAGGTACCACTGTACTTGAAGGTAGACTTTGCAGTCACTTAAGCCTGCTGCCAGCAGTCTATACTTGCTGCTGCTCTCTCCTTTCCTTTTCCCTGTTTGCAAAAAATCCATGCTAACAACAGGAGTAGCATGTGATTCTGTAGAGTTAAAAGAATTATCACTTTGACACTGGTCAGTCTTTCTCTTAATTCATTCACTGGAACTTGCCTCCTAGTATCAAAAGATGGGAGAAAAGCTATCACACCATGGCCCTGCAATACTGTGAACAATTTAGGGGTGGGGGCATGCGTGCACAGGGCCAAGCAACAGCTTGAAGGAACAACTCCAACCCCACCTAGTCTTTACAATTGATTTCAATGGATTAAGGTGAAATTTTAAGCTAGATCTTTAATGATATATTTGATCTTGCAAACAAAAGCAGCAAACAGAATTGTGAGTCTTCTCTTTCTGCCTTGTTATAATCTTATAAAGAAGTACATAAAATTGCCACCAAGGGAAGGAAACCTGGACTAGGAGAAACTGCTTCTGCAGCAGCATTGATGAAAGCAGTTAATGGAAATATTGTTATTTACTTACAAGACACGGTGGTGTGGGGAGCAGCACAAATGATAATTTTCATTGTCTAACTGGCTTTCTCCCCTCCAAGTAAGTATTGGGCCTTTATAGGATAACACAATTTAATTATTGTTACAGGATTCCATTATCATAATGGTATTTTACCTTAGGCCATTTATATATTGTTCATTGTTAATGTTATTTGATTATATTTTTTGGCACATTTGGAACCTTGATGAGACTCTAGTATACTGGAAGCAATATATTTATGTGCTGGTCATTTGGAGTTGGGTAATGTTTTTTACTATATCTTTAATTTTGATATTTACCTGTGTAGTGTTGCAGAATATATGTCATTTTCAATTATATATTTTATATGTCTTAACTTATCAAACTTTATACTCTGAGTGTTAAAGGGTCAAAGCAACCAAATTATGAGAATATGGGTTTCAGATTTTATTAGAAAAGATACCCCTCACATTATTTTTCTAAAAGAGATACATAGATGTAATCCACATTCACAAGACTGTTTTGATTTCTCAAACCTGGTGTATGTATGGCTTCACTCGTCTGTGCTGTTAAGTAAAGGGACTTGGCCAGCATTGAATTCTGGGTGCGTATTTTAACTCCCAACAAAGGCATTCCGAATCTTAATTCATACCTGGAAAATTCATTCCAGGTTCTCTTAGTGAAATGTGGGAAATAGCTCAACATACTCAAAACGATCAATTGATTTTAATATATTTTAATTCCGGAGCTATTTTAAAAAGTGAAAACTGAAGAGGTTCTTTTTATAAGACGAGTAGATATACCCATAACAGTGATGACAGAAACAGCACATTCTTATTCCATCTGTCAGTACTTTCTGTACAAAGATGTGACGCACAAGAGTTCTGATAAAAGTCCCACTGTGTAGGAGTCTGCACTTACCAGAAGGATGATCTGTTCAACAGAACACAGCATCAGTAATCCCCTGCTTGGTGCTGCTAGACTTAGAAGAAAAGGCCTGGCATTGGACCTAGAACCATATTGTCCAAATTATTTACTCTCTAAATCACTTCTCTCCCAGGAGCTTGTTTAGGCTCAGGATGGCTCAGGTGGTACAGCATGAGACTCTTAATCTCAGGATTGTGGGTTCGAGCCCTGGGTTGGGCAAAAACGTCCTGCGTTACAAGGGTATGAACTTACTAGATAACCCTTGTGATCCCTTCCAACTCTACAATTCTAGGGTTCCATGGTTCTGTGAAACAGCAACCAGACCATAACTGCAGCTCTGTGCATGGAGAAGTAAGGGTCACTTTACCTTTCTCCTTACATCATCCAGCAAGGTCTGAGGCAAAATTGGTGCTTTTCATTGTTTACCAGCCATGCATACAGCTGTTCGCAAGTCAGTATAGACTGGTGCAAGTGGTTCTCTGCAAGCAAAAATTTTCTTTCTTTCAACAGAGAAAGAGAGAATTTTTCAAACTCTAGCATGAGTATGGAAAAATCCAGTGAAGGTAAAGGGAAATCATCCAGAATGATACATATATTATATTGTTATGTAACAGTTTGAGTAAAAATCTCCTGTAAAACATTGAAAATACCAGTCTATTATATGCACATTAATACTTTATATATAAAAATAGACACCCAGGGTTGAATTCAGTCAAGTCATTGCACTTGTAGAATGACTTCCACTTGTACAAGGGAACTTCTCCTCCCCAAATTTTGCTAGCATAAGAAGCCTTCTGATGAGGCGGGTGAAAGGAGGGACTCTAACTTCCAAATGTGTATCTATGTTACATGCATGCAGAGTAAATTGCATGTGTGTACAAATGGTTTTACTTAACAGTGGTAAATCCTTAATGTGTGAAGCAGCTCTTGAATGAAAGTAAGTACAAAATAACTCAAAACAGAGACAAAAGAAAACCCTGTGTATAGCAGAAGCAGCTGAGATTCAGAATCGGAATGGAGAAAGGAAGTCTTACGGAAAGAATGGCATAAATTATAACAAACCTCAAATGCCACTCTCTACTTGCTGGTTTGGCAGAGAGTGAGAGGACAAATGTCAGGAAGAATGGGTGAGAGCCAAGTGCTATGGGAGGCCATAGAGGGAAAAGAGAAAAGCAGAAGGCAGGGGCCCAAGCATAGGGTGAACAGCAGGTCAGGGCAGAAAAGAGGGACTGCCAGAGCTTGAGAGTTTTAGCATGTGTTGAATTGAAAAAAATGTCAATGATAGTTAGAAGAACAGTAGAAAAAGATAAAGAGTGAAAATAAATGGGAAATGGTATGATAACTTATTGAAGCTAGCTTTTAACATAAAAATCAAGACAAGATTTGTGTTTAAGGCTGTTCCCTTGCTTGCATATATGTGATGACATACTGCTTCGGTATATGTATTGTATATGTATTGTTGACAGAAAAGGTTGATTACACACAAGTGCAAGATGTGAAAATGTACTGGAAAATGAAGTGAAGATAGTTTGCTACGTGGATGGGAAATAAGGAACTCTTGTGTTTGTGGGCAGGATGGGAATAACAATGCATCTTCTTTTTCACGCTGAAGGAGGACTGTTTTTACCTTTTGAGAGATTTGTATTTTGACCAGCTTTGCATCCGTTTACAATATTTATTCAGTCAAGTTTTCAAAAGCTTTCATACCTTTCAGGCACTCTGCTCCAAAAATTATTGCATGGAGGGAGGGAGAGCAGAATCAAATCCCTGTCTGCAATGTCTTTAATGCACAGGAAAGTAAAGGTCAGAAGAAGAGACCATGCTCTGTACATATAAGTGCTTCTATAATTTAGAGGCCTCATTGTGCAGAGTTCTACATCAAATAGACTATCCTCTTCAAACCTCTCGCTCTATCCACATACATACACATAGATGAAGGGGCTGGGTGGGATATGAGGCAAGCTGGCATGATGATGTGCTCGTTCGCTCACTCTCACTCTCCAAGAGAGCTGCAATTCCTAGCATCCTAACAAACTGCAGTTCCCAGGATTCCTTTAAAAGTACTTACATGGAGAAGAACAGAAGAAGGCAGATTATTTTTACATTTTGTGATTTATTCACATGCTTCTTGGGAAAATGGTATACTGTTATATATTCTCATACTGTCTGCCTCTCACCTTTTATACTTTACCTGTGACACATGTTACCAGTACAGTTCCTCCTGTTATTCTTCCTTGATCTTTGGACCAACTGTATCAATGTGATTTAGGTTACAACAAATGCAAGCAAGGGCAAAAAAGGTTTCAGATGTGCACCCATCTTTTCTTATGTTACTTTTTCGGCTGCTTTTGTTCTTCAAACTGATGCCCAACTATTTATAGCTCTCTGCCCCCATGAATTTGATCCACGGTGCTGAATGGTTCATGTCAAATGCTCTGGGGGGAGGGAGCGAGGGGGTAGTAGCCATGTTAGCTTATTGTAGTAAAAATGATACAGTGGTCCACATGAACTTTTGGCATAGTAAATTTGTTAGCAAAAACAACAATATTGTGACATTTTAAGCACACTGCTACCTTTACATTGCCCAGCTTTTTTGTCTTGTGTGGCTTATTGCATATTGCCTTTAAAATTGGTTTGTTGAATTTTATATCAGTGACTACTAGCCACAATGACTATGGCTTATTTCCACTGTTGGCAGCAATAGGCTTCTGAATACCAGTTGCCAGGAATCACAAGTTGCTTTGCTTTTGGGCTTCCCAGGGGCATGTGGTTGCCCCCTGGGAGAATGATCCTGGACTAGATGGGCTTTTTCCATATTTATATGAATTACTTGTATTGATACAAAGGACAGCTGTGCTCATACACATTTTTAATGCCTTCTACAGAACTGCACACGCAAGGGCTAAAGCTGATGCTGCAGATCAAGCCAGCCAATCTGCTCGTCAGGAGTGTGACATCGCCAGAGCAGTTGCCAGAGAACTTTCCCCGGGTTTCTACCAGCCAGGTAACATGGGAATTGAGTGAGTTTGCAGAGGAATGATGTTTTCTACATCATTTTAAACAGATGGATGGGGGGGGCAGGGAGAAGACAACCCAAAATTCCCATTGTACCAGTTGATTTTTGTTGCACAAGCAAGTGGACATTATTGAACCCTATGTCACAGCTTCCACAACATTGCAGTGCTCTGGGTTTTGTGATTTGCAGAAGGCATGAGGATTTACAGAAATAAACATATTAAGGCACTGCTCAACAATCCCTGAAAAAGTGATGTTGCAATGGATACAGTGGTGCCTCGCAAGATGAAATTAATTCGTTCCACGAGTTTTGTCGTCTTGCGATTTTTTTCTTCTTGCGAAGCACGGTGTCGGGAAAGTTTTGGAAAAGCTTCAAAAATCACCAAAGTCTTTAAAAACCTCAAAAAGGCTACCACACCGCGTTCTATGAGTTGCTCCTCGAAGTCAAGTCGCAACTGTATTAACTGTGTTAAGAAAAAGGAAACAAACTTGCAAGACGTTTCCGTCTTGCGAAGCAAGCCCATAGGGAAAATCGTCTTGCGAAGCAGCTCAAAAAACCCTTTCGTCTAGCAAGTTTTTTGTCTTGCGAGGCATTCGTCTTGCGAGGTACCACTGTACAAAATATAACCATTTATTCAGTGGCCCACATACTGATCCCAGTGACATGGCAGGAGGCTCTTTAACCAGCAGGAGTGAATCAAAGATTTGTGTTGTGAAACCGGAACATGGCTTAAAGAAATACAGTACCGTGATAAAAAATGTTCTTATCCATGTCTTCCCCTGAAAACCAAAGAGTGGCTTAATAGTTCCATTTCAAAGGCTAACATGGAAAGGAAAGAAATGACATGTTCTACAGAATATCTGCCTGAAAGGTTCATGTGACCTTTGGCATATATTCTTGGGTCCAGATTCATATTCAGCTCCTTAATCCAGATATTAAGCAAGATACTTAACGTGTCCTCAGAGGACTGTTCTGTCTAAGTTTATGCATGTTTGAGGTGTTGCATTATCTGAAAGAGAACAAGCTAATACAGTGTAAGGTTTCCATATCTGTTCCATCATGAAATCATTTTTAAAAGGACATTACTTAGGACCCATATTATTGAGCAATATCATCTTCATTCTAGGGTAATGCAGCATGAGGCTGAGAGATAGTTTGTCTAAGGCCAGTGAGTTTATAATTGACCTGAGACTTGAACTGGAGCCCTCATTCCGAATGCTACACCAGCTGCCTGAATGTATATCGGCATTTCTACACAAGAAGACATATGAGCCTGTAGTAATGCCACTGTAAAGCTCTTGTAATTTAAAGCCCTTGCTATGTTACTTATTTATAGATAGGTGCTTACTTTCTTCATGTTAGAAGTTTGAAATATGTTTTCACCTTTTCTAGAGCCAGCTAAGATCCACTCTGATATAATAATATGTAGCTTAAAACATTTCTGATGTAACATATGCATAAATGATGTCGCCCGTTTAACCGACTCTTATTTACCAAAAACAAAAACACCCAGCCTTAAGTACTTGGCAAATAAAAAAGTTTTTAAAAATTGGAATTCTAAATGTTTCAGAAGAAAGAAAAGAATTTCAAAGTTGTTATCCACAGATAACCATTTCCCAGTTGTTTCTGTTTCCTAAGTCAGTTAGGTTGTAGTAGCTCCAAAGCTTGCTGATAGGTGCTACAAAAATTCAGTGATGCATCAGATAGCCTCAGTCCTCCCTGCCAGTCATAGACCTTAGGACAAAACTAGATGAGACAGTGGAAATGTGTGAGCATATGCTGACAAATTGGTGCTATGGGAGTGAAGCTGCTAGAAGGAATAGTAGATTTGATCATGGAACCTTGCCATATTGCCTAGTTTAGACCTTAGGCAGCTGAATGCTAATAAGCTAGAGCCAGAAGCCAGAACGTACATCTTCCATGTAGGCAAGCGTAGTCCAAGCCTTCATATTTTTTTCCAAGTCAGGGGGACGCAATAGGTTTGCTGGATGGATTGAGCTGCCCTGAAGCCTAAATAAACATCACACCTTACCCATCAACCTGCTCTTCATTTGTGACATCAGCACAAAAATCTGACAGTCCCCATTTCTAGCCATGGCAGCTCTCTGCACTTCCTGACTGTAGCTAGGCAACAGTCTCTTCTTGTGTCAAATTGTCCTGAAAGACAATATTGTGGGGAAATGTAATTTTACCCTTTTCTTGACTAGAAATGCTTAGCATGAAAAGCAAGCAATCTGTCCTTTAATGAGTACACATCTGCACATAGGAACTCCACAAGACTGTGGGTTTTTTTATGGAAAGAAAAGAAACTGAAGACAGCTAGCATCTTGCCTTATTTGAGTGTCTTTTTTCCCTTGAATGCAAGTAAGCACAATCCACTTAAAGAGTCCATATATGCTGAAAGCAAGACAGTCTCCCCAGTTTTCAAATCTTTTTTCTTTTATTTGATGTGTGTTAAGTACCAACATCAGTTAGCTCATTGGCTGAAAATATTACCTATGAAACAAATGTGTCAGTTCTTACACTAAAACTGAATATAAGGAATCTCTGCCAGATATTATGAGTAAAAAAATATTTATTGGTCTAATTTTTACGGCTATACAACTGTTTGTTGCTTGTGCCATTCTTGCAGTAGTTTGTCATATTTTCACTGTTGTAATCTTTTTACTGAATGTCAGAAAACGTTGCATAACTAAAGTGAGCAAGAGCACTTATCTTTGTTACTCATCTATTTGAATCATTAGAAAAAATATATAAACTTCATCTGTGCTATGTGATAATAAAAATACAGGCACATCAGGTGTATTCTAGGGGCAAGATGTGGAGTCGACACAGTAGCAAAGAGCTCACTGAGTTGTCACAGTAAGCTAGCTAGGGTTGCCATATTTCAAGAAGTGAAAATCTGTTGACCTTTACTTAGGAGAAAATCCCGGATGAAACGCCACTTTTCGGAAATTCCCCCCAGATGTCACTTCTGCCATTGAAATCCCACTAATGTCCGGGGAAATCTGAACATATGACAACACTAAGCTAGCCATAAAAATGTCAGTGCATGTGAACTAAATGTGGGGAGGAGTGACTGCACACAAAGGTTTTCCAGTTCAATCCTCAGCACAGTGTCACTATCAGTCAGTACTGAGACAATACTGAGCTACATGGGCCAACCGTGATTTGATACAAGGTCCTATTCTCCAATGGTTTGTGTACATTGAGGCTCCTAATGTCTCATTGTCCTTTAACACAGAATGCCATGGGCATGTTCAGTTTCTTGAAAACGCTGTCTGATAATTGCATTCACAAAATATGTCTCTCCGGCTTCACATGAAAAATAATGTGCCCTTTGAAAGAGTGCAGTTTTAAACAACATTAATTCTCTTCTTGGATTCTGAGCCTTTCAAGGAACAGCGCATTCTAGTTTTCTTTAGTCTTTTCTATGAAACTCTGGAGGCAAGTTGTGTGTTTTTTCAAAAGCTACATCTCTAGGGAAAGCATTAAGCATCGTAACATGCAATTGAAAACCAGTTGCCAGCACTTTTCCATCCTTTCTTATACTGGCCCTTTAAAATGCTCAGGAGATGAGTAATTAGAGGCTTCTGCATGGAGTATTGCCAGACACATTCATTGTCTTTATTATAAATATATATTTATAGCTGCCATAAATATTTGTCCTAACTAGGAACCTTGCTTACAAACTCTGTCTGTGAAGAGGGTTTTCGTGTTATATTAATTTGTTTTAAGAACACCATTTTAACTGTGATTCCCAGAATTTTCTTTTGCATAGTTAGGATTTATTTCTGTATTTGTTTTTCTCTATATGCTTTTAGGTTATGTGATGAGACAGAGCTGGTATACAGTTATAGTGCCTTTGCATTCTCTCAGCATTCTTTCCTGTTTATGGGAATTATCTCCCCAGGAAGCCTGTCTGGCACCTACAATAATGTATTTTTGGCACCGAAAGGTGATTTTTCATGTTAGCAGGCCTTTTTTATTTGATGAGCAACTCTTCTGCTGCAGTAGTTTTTAATCTGTTGTTTTATTGATGTTATTGTGTGCTCATTGGGGAGAGGGGTGAACTCTCTGTAAATAATCACTGAGGAGTATGAAAATGTAACCTAACCTTGAGGACCAGGTCATTGTGGCCATAGCTCAGTGGTAGAGCTCATGCTTTGTTTGCAGCAGGTTTAAGATTCAATCCTCAGCCTCTCCAGGTAGGAATGAGAGTGTCTCCTTCCTGAATCCCCCTGGAGAACTGCTGCCAGTCAGTGTTGACATTACTGGGCTAGATGGACCTGGGAGTCTGACTCAGTATAAGGCAGCCTCCAATTTCCTATGACTAATAAATGTAAACAAATAAATATGAAATGAAACACTGAGGATTTCATTCATGGCATGTCCTGCAGAGGATCCTTAGGTCCATGAATAATAACAACCTAAAGGTCCTGAGCCCTAAGGAAGCCAGACTATCCTCCACCAGGGCCAGGGCTTTTTCAGTGATGGCTCCGACCTATGTTCCACAACTGTTGAATTTCAGGGCTATGTGCTGGAAATTATTATATTGTTCATAAGTCTTTAGGTCTAGAGACTAATTCTGCAGCTTTCCCTTCTAAAATTATGCTGGTTGTTTAAGATAGGGCTTCTAGAAACTTTAGAAGAATCGGGCTATGGTAGATTCATAGGAAATGAAAAAAATGAATTTTTGTTGTTGTTTATTGAGAATGCATGGCATAATTTGTATTTGTTTAAAAACCAAAATAAACATGTGTTTAAAAAAATGCATGGCAGACATATGTAGGAAAAGGTTGATATAAAAATTGAAATTTGATTGTGGTTTTTACCAACCGTTAGTGATGATAAGACAAAAAGCCCAAAGAGGGATAGAGAAGTACAAATGACACCAGTAAAGTCTCCTTTGGAGAAAGGATTCACTTAGGTCCCTTTTCTTGCAAGCCGGTGGTAGAAAATTGGAGTAAATGTTGCTCAATCTGAGTTAAAACTGCCGAAAAGCAAAAGAGAAAGAGATAATAATCAAATGGAAGGAAGAAACTTGATCAAGCGTAATACTGTGAAACAAACTTAGAGGTGATAGCAGTCAGCAAATTAGATGAGAGACGTGATCCTACGCCCATTGAAGTGAACTGGCAAACACTGCAGGCTCAGCCCATGTATTTGAAATGTGATACAGCCACAAAAGTGCTAATGCTATTTTAGGCTGTGTATGCAAACGCAAGACATGGTGATAGCCCTCTTCTTTGCCTGCATCTACTGGCTCTGCATGGGTTACTTGGTACTTCAGTAGTGGAAAGATGCAGACAAGAAGGAAATTCAAAGAAATAGTAGTAATGCCAGAAATGAAGCTGCTTGACCCTGGAAGCCGCTTCAGGAAGAACTGACTTTGAAACTTGCACATGTTACCATAAACAATGCTTTGAGGTGGTGAAAACTTGCAGTGTAAAAACACTGGGCATTTTGCCACAGTTCTGTTTCAGGTTGCCCTCAACTCACTCTCCTGTTTTAATTTTGGTATACATGGGCTTACTTTTTGAAATCAGGATGTAGAAAAGAAAGTGTCATATCAGAACTTGTGTCCACATTTCTTTTTCTGGGGTGGAAATGGGAGCAGAGTCCTAGGTTTCTCTGATGTCTTGCTCACTGATTTGATTTCAAAATGCAATTTCTGATGAAACGTTTCCAAGTGCATTTGTTGACAGAGAACACAAAACAAGGAAGCAGCAGCATTTAAAAGCTGCATCTGTAAATACAGTACTAATGAAAGCTTCTCCTATGTTTTAGCTGAAAGAAGGGCATAAAAAAAAACCCCACTAGTATTTATGCTTTTATTTCTTCAGAAAATAAAATAAAATTGTAAAAGCGATTAATCCAAAAGAAAAATATCCCACAACAGCAAAAGAGAGTAAAAACTATAAGTCTGTTAGATGGAAAATGTTATTGATCTCCTTATTTTTGTTTCAGTAGCTTGATACAAGTGCTCAAGTTTAATTGCTTTTGTCACTGTTAAATTTAGGTCCTGATTATATCAAGCAGCGATTTCAAGAAGGTGCAGATGTTAAGGAAAACCCTGAAGAAAAAGCTCAGGAAAAAGCACCTACACCAAAAGAATCTCCTCACTTTTATCGAAAAGGCACTACACCTCCTGGGACCCCGGAAGAGAGCCCAAGGCAAAGCCCCCTCCCCTCTGCTGAGCCTTCCCCTGCAAAACAAGGCAAAAAGCAAAACTCCTCCTCTGAGGTCAGACTAATCCAAGAAAAAAAGAATTTACCTAGTGAAAATGTGACACCTGTGGTCAACAAACCTCTTTATTCGAAAGCACCTGTGAAGGAGGATATGATGGTAAAGCCCCAGCCAAAGTTGTCACCCCGCAACAATCCTACCAACACAGAGAATGGGGAGTTGCATGATCATTACCATGGCTATTACGTGAAACCGAATCCAGCAAGGTACCCATTTGAGCTCGGGGAAGACGAAGACCATGCCAACCCATCATCTTCAGCACTTGCACTAGTAGCATCAGCTCAGAAGCCAAGCCCCAACAAATCTGGGATTCAGTTAGATGCCAAAGAATCATTAAAGAAGCCTGAATCTGTTGCACCAAAGAATCCCACAAATAATGACTTCTATTCTTCAGTGGAGAGAGAAGTCAGTATGGTAGGTACTGGGCATTGAGAGTTCAAGTCTGGGCATAGGCCAGAAACCATGTAAGATGTAAGATATTTCTGTTTAGATGAGTTAGCCTCTGAGTGGCCAAGCATACTCAGTGTATTTGGTGGTGTTTGCCTGCTATTATGTTTTCAGTTTAGTTTACATCTCCATCAGAATTCTCTCACCTTCAAGGGTACAAATGAGAAGCAGTTAATTTGAAGCCTAACTAGAACCCTTTCTGGATTCCTGTTCTTTAGGACTGGACTCTGCAATCCTAACTGAGCACAAACCTTTTCCCCGTGGAAATAAGGTATTAAAAAACACTCCTCACATTCAAGGTGCCCTATGCATTTAGCTCCTGCCAGCCTAGCAGTTCAAAAGCACGTCAAAGTGCAAGTAGATAGATAGGTACCGCTCCGGCAGGAAGGTTAACGGCCAGGGGTCCCTTTACCTTTATGGAAGTTGAAAAGGTACTCAGGATAAATCAGTTTCGCAGCAGGGACATTTATAAAATTAACAACATCAATCAGTTTGATCTCAGCGCTCACATTTTTCTCAACGTTCACATCAAATTAATATCTATGTAAAATATGCTCATAAAATATTTGGCAGGGATGAAAGCAAGCAGTGTGTACAAAATTCTCCCTTTCTTTCACCACCCTTCAATAATACTGATAAAGTCAATGGTGCCTCTTTCACTGAAAGGCTTTTACTTTTCATACATTAACCCTATTCAGGCATCCAAAAATCTGCATGGGGTCTTAAACTGTAGAAGAGGGTCAGAGCACACATGCAAGCCCCATGTTCACACAGCTTGGCTTCACTGAAGCCTGAAGAGGGCTTCTAAGTTCTGAATGTGCTTTAGAAGTCTTCCTAAGATGAAAGAACCTACAATATCAAGGTCACTGGGCGGCTTCTAAGTACCCCGTTCAGATATTCTTGAAAATTCCTGTTCTAACAGCACACCTGCAGGCTGGTTGCGGTTTAATGTAATCCCCATTTTGATTGCTGCAAGTCTAAATAGGCTAGCAGGATCAGCATAGGTTGCTCAGTGACAGTACTGGCAACCCCACCACCACCATTTCTAAACCTAGTGAACTAGTAAGTATTTCTTTTTTCCTTTGCCACTACTGTGTCTGCAATACTTAGGACTCACTGGAGGTCTGCCATCTGCAAATGTCCTAAAAACCCTGAGTTATTTCTTCATATTACTAACATGTCCTTCAGACATTGCAACAGCAGCAGCACGAAAGCTCCTTACCCATGACTCCACCACACACTGCCACTAATGGGTCTGCCCATGTGCTGTGTAAGGCTTATCACATGGGTTTGTCCCATGCAGTTGCCACCTGGTTAAAATTAAGGGTGACAGCTGGATGGTAAGGATCTGTGTGTGGTTGACCCCACTCACATACTGACAAGCTTTTGAATGCTTTGGCAGCAGTGTGGAATAAAGTCACAGATAAGAGGCTTCTTGAGATTTCACCTAAGGAAGGGCACCTAATGCAACATGGACTGCTGAACAAATACTAATTTTATCATCACTGATAAACATGGCCATATTGGCAATTCAACACCAGTTTTATGGGCAACTTGGGGAGGGAGGAATATGCTTCACACTTTAAATTGGAATTACATTAGCTGGTGCTATGCCAGTGTTTCACTGGCATTGTTTGCATTCAGCACTGGGGATTGGCTTCATTTTACTAAATAGTTTTCTTTAACAGCAGATTGTGCTCATAAATCAAAACTAGAGATTGTTTCCCCAAGCAAGATTTACTGGCTATCATTTTAGGGGTGTTATCCAGTGAAAACAACTTCTGTTTTCATGAGCAAAGATTCATTGAGTTTTTCACACGCTCACATCCTTGCTGACTAACTTGGTTCATTCATACATTGCTATGTTTATGCTGTAAATGAGAACTTACCCATCAAAGATTATAAATTTCTTGTCTTTCACAGAACTGCTAAGGAAGCTTCTCATGTTGTATTTTTATATGTACCCATCAAATATTTCACACCTTTAAAATACAATGTGTGAACTGAAGAAATGTATGTTTGTAAGTGTGCATGGGTGCTTTAGAAAAGAATCTGAGATAGACTGTAGCTCCCTTACAGTGCATCCTTTTGTAGCAAACATGGGGTTTGTACTGTGCAACAAATGAGGAAACCTTTATTTCAGGATGTGAGAGAATAATCCAAAGGCTATAATCTTATCAGAGATGATTGACTCCTTCACCTTCCTGAAATTTTGGACTAACTTTTTGAATGTGCAAAGAAATCTGCGGCTAAAGCGAGTTCAGGAGTTGTCATCCTAGGATGGCAGATCGTGTAAAACTGGTTTTCAGGGCACAGTAAAAGGACACCAAACCAAACTACAGTGGTGCCTCGCAAGACGAAATTAATCCGTTCCGTGAGAGTCTTCGTCTAGCGGTTTTTTCGTCTTGCGAAGCAAGCCCATTGACGGATTAGCGCTATTAGCGGTTTAGCGGCTATTAAAGGCTTAAAGGCTTAGGGGATTAGCTGCTAAAAGGCTATTAAAGGCTATTAAAGGCTTAGCAGATTAGATAAAGGGGGGGGGAAAGCGAAAAAAAAAACCTCAAGACTCGCAAGGTATTTTCGTCTTGCGAAGCAAGCCCATAGGGGAATTCGTCCTGCGAAGCAACTTCAAAACGGAAAACCCTTTCGTCTAGCGGTTTTTCCGTCTTGCGAGGCATTCGTCTTGCGGGGCACCACTGTACAGCTAATATTTAGAAGCATAAGAGGGAAAGGAAAACAGAAATATTAACTTAATGGTCATTTCACAGATGATCGTTTTCTTACATGTAAGTTGCCTTACAAGGGCTTTGCCCTAAAGGGCAGTCTAGAAATATTTAAAATAATTTGCTGCAACTTTTGTGTAGATAAAAAATACACATAAATACAGAAGTGATACCAGTTTAACATGATGATGGTAAAACGTGGCCTTAGTTACTGAGTTAGCAAAAACATTGACAGTTCTTCTGCTCTTTGAGTTCTGTTCCAGAGAATCTCCCAAATATCCAGATAAGGATGCAATTGATTCTTTGTCAAGTGAATGAATTTCCTTGATTGTTGGTTTGGATTTTGCCAAGTGAAATACCTGTCCTCCACCAATATAGGGACTGACACTGTGTGTTTTTGAATCCACACGTGCACACAACCCACCACAGCCCAAAGGGTGTGCTTATGATTACCCCTTCAACCCACTCACACACTTTGCCCAGAAATATATATATATATATATAATGACGCAGATTGTATTTCTGCAATGATTAATAATGAAAAAACAATAAGTATAAACAGGATGATAGAAAATTTAACAGTTCATTATAATGTTATAGTAAAGTAATAATATTATTACAAAAAATATGTGCATCAGGCTTATATTTTAATGTTCACAAAATGCAAGAAAATCTCATTTTTGGTTACTAGTTATTATAGATTCACATGAAGCTGTAAGACGATGACTGTGCCTTCTGTATGCAGTTTTGCTGTGTCACAGAGGGCAAAAAAATGAGAGAAAGTCTAAAAATAAAACAATTATTGGTGGTTAATGAGTAACATTAGCACCTCAGTGAGACAGAAGTTAAAATGAATACACATTTTAGCAGTACCCAGTTAAGTTAAAATGTTGATGATGGTAGCTGACTGAATTATATTGGAATAAATGTCATCATATTTAAAAAAAAAAAATCAAGAACAAAAACAAGTATCAGGGAACTCTGCGGAAAGTCACTGCCAGCCAAACTACTTCAGAGAGAATGGGCAAGTGGACTTTTAGCAAATTCCACTACCATCCCTACGTCCAGAGCACAGTTGCGGGTGGGGGAGGCTGCCGAGAACATTAGGGGAAAGGTTAGTGCCTTTTTGCAAGAAAGGTATTCTGCTTTTGCACAGACACCATTGGATGCAATTGAATGTGTGCTACAAATGAGGTAGCTCATATCTCCTGTGTAGCTTCCAGTCATTTTGAGCATCAGAAGTATTTCCAAAATGATTTGTGTGCTACCAAGGTCTAGTTGGCACAGAAGTTTTGTATAATGTTGCTTGCAGATTTTCCTTTTGTCTTCAGTACTATTTCAACCCTTGGGGGGCGGGGGGAATTACCTTCCTTATTCTACCTCTTCTCCCAGCCTTTTCAGAAACAGAGAACCTCCAGTGAATCATTCCGCAGAAATGAGAACCGCAAAGCTATTGGAGATACTATCTGATGAGGTTTGACAGCTTAATCAGAAGTGCTAGAAAATGTTTTGAATAAGTCTTGGAGTACTGAAATGATTTTTTGTTTATATGACAATATATTGGTAAACTACCGCGTAAATTTATAAGGGATACACAGATTCTAAAACAAAAAAATTAGAACTATGTGAATAAATCACATCATTGGTTATGGGGCTACCTTATATCAAGCCCAAGCAGCTGGTCTACGCAGCCCAGTACTGCCTGCGTTCATAGGTAGAGGCTTTTCAAGTTTGGAGCTGGATATCTTTCTTGTCCTGGTACATGATGTTCTTTTAGCCAAAGAAAACAGAGACTGGCCATGGGATCAATGAGCAACAGCCCTCCCCTTCCCTGTGCTCCATAAATAAGGGAAATCTGCATGAAAAATAAGAACTACTATTAGTTATAATAGTAGACTAATCAGAAACTAACATTAGCTTTTTATAGTTGATCGTCTTTTTCTTTTAATATGCTGCCTCCTAACAGTGAGCCAATATGTCACTGTATTATACCTCGATGTGCTTTGTTTTTTTGTTTTTTGCTTTTAATTACTTCTTCATTTTACATGCTTCCCTTTTTTATGCCTTAAGCTTACTGTTATATAAGAGTTGTACGGACAATTCCGGGCATGCATAACGCTTTTCTGTTACAGCTTCTTTCTAACACCTGTTCAAATCAGTCATGGAAAGCAGAGACTAATTTTGCCTTTTTCTATTTTAAGCCCTTGTAGAAAGCTGTGAGGCCTTATTTATGGCGCTTCACCCTAAAGCATTTTGAAGTCTCACTATTAATGTTTTAAAAGCCAGAAATAAGAGCCACATTTTTAATTCCATGGGTGGAGCAAAGTTCTCTGCAGTTTCTTTGATCAATCCAAAATGCCTAAGCAATTTAGAGCGGGGTTTTTGGCATTGCTCAAAGTTCCCCGTCCCATTCTCTCATTCTCATTCTCACTCCTTGAAACTCTCCATTTATCTTTCTTCATAATCCAGTAAAGCATAACCTTTTTATTTGAGCTTAATCCATAAATTTAGTTCCATGGTAACATTTAAAGCTGCATTCACATGGTAGGTAATTTCATTTTCCTAACTGTTGATTTCCATATTACATTTGAGGTTTCACATGATACTTCTGGAATTCTAGTGGAATATAGTGCAAGTTTAGGATCATTTGGCTGTTAATTGGCTCCAGATATAATGCATTTGTAGCCCCATTAACCCAGAAAATCACAGGCTTAAAGTGACAAAATTTTGGGTAGCATACTGTCATATATCACTTCCCTGCTGTTTTTATGGATAAGTCGTGAGGGAACAGAAGCATACATGATATTTATTTATACATACATACATACATACATACATACCCTGCCCATCTGGCTGGGTTTCCGCAGCCACTCTGGGCGGCTTCCAACAAAATATTAAAAATACAATTAAAACATCAAACATTAAAAACTTCCCTAAACAGGTGCAGAAAGAGTGGAAGAGTTGTGAAGTTGTCTCCAATGGTGTTTGTTGTTGTGCCATACCACACCCACTGCTGTGAATGGAATTTAGCTTGCCGTGCCAGTATATTGGTCAAAAAGCCGCAGTTCCATAACGCAACAGATACTGCGGCGTGAAAGGAATGTTAGAAAAAGAGAAAGTGCTAGTCAGGAAAACTAATTCAATATCCCCCAAATCTGAATGCACCCTAATAATGCTGGGATCATATTGGGATTGAAATGTGCCTTTGAAGGTTGCTCTGAGATTATGCATATGGCGCAGCAGAGGCTGCTCTCCTCAGTTTAGAGCTGAGGTATTAACTGCCACAGCTGTAATGTGTGGCATCATCCCAAACGCAGCCTGTTGTGGTGAGATTCTGGGCCACCATCAGCCACCTTCCGGAACGGGTAGTTGGTGGTATGGGAGTTTTTCATGTTAGGCCCCAGATCAATGTGCTACGCATTGCAGGCACAAAAGACTAAGTCATCCTAAGGATGCCATTTCCAGTACCTTCTACATAATGCGCTGCTCCAGCTGTTTGAAAGGTGGAGGAACAGCACTTCTTCATGATCCACTTGAGGAGATTATGATAATAGATGACTATATGCTCCTTTTTTGTGTTAAAGGAAAACCCACATATTTTAAATTGTGAGAAGTCAAGAAGAAATACATTTTTTTAAAAAAGAAGCAATTTTATACCTTTTCATGGGCCAAGCATGACCTGCTTATAATAATCTTTTCACTTTCACTGAAACCATTAAAATGATGTCTATATTTCAGGCAGAGGTGATGGTTAAGTTGGTTGTGCTTTCTTACCATTTTTACATCTATTAACAGCAAAACATCTCAAAGTGAAATGTTCCTCTGCAGAGGATTTGTATAATCTGGCTCAGATGAGGGAGGGGAGAATGTGTGATTGACATTGCAAGGGCTAACATTTCAGTATAGTTCTTTTGCTAATCTTTGTTTGCTTTTGCAAATGTCAGCGAATTTTGTTTTGTTTTTTCCACTTGCCACGAAGGCAGAAAAACCTTCCTTCAAAATGTATTATTTATAATATTTGTATAGCAAATAGATATCAAGGTGAAATGGGGTTGAAGCCTTCCACTTTTTTTTTCAATCTTCACCTGCACTTCTAAGAACCTATGCACTGTTTGAAGCCCTTAGTGTTGCTCTGTTTTCCACTGCATAACTAGATTTCTAGGAAGAAAACTGCTCAATCCATATGATAATCACACTTTTATTTACTTTCTCCTATTTTAGAAGATGTTGCATAGTTGGGTGTCTCAAGAAATCACACTAAAGATGTGTTGAATCAGGAACAAAATTTACTGCTTTCAAAATAACATTTCAAGAGGGCAAGAGGGTACAAGGAAGAAAGAGTCACATCTTGTGTTTTTGCTATTATGACAAAATTTAGAAGCAGCATAATGTTCAAGGTTACAATTGATCTATTCATTATCTTGTTTTTTGTGAATGTAATCAAACTCCATTTTATTTCACTTTCAGGGTCCTAATTCAATCATGATTGTCCTGGTAATGCTGTTGAATATTGGTTTAGCCATTCTTTTTGTCCATTTTCTAACTTGATTGGAATTAGGAAAGGTAAGAATGGTCTCATGTTTCACCTGAAATTCTCTCCTCCCCCCAAATCTCAGTTCTAATCCTTCCTATTTCAAATGACAAAGCTTTACTATTTGCAAAGTTTAATGTTATTGGCACTTTAATTTTAGCTATGCCTGAATGTGATTCAACATAGTTACTTAATGATATAACTGTTTTGATCCTTCAGTGAAGTCATGACAACTAGTGGCGTAAGCCCACAATTCTCAGCAGTTGTGTCATCAGCCTTTTAAATGGCACGAGTCATGTTCAGACACAGGGAAGGAGGCATGGAATTAGGATGGGACACGAGAGAGATGAAACTTGGAAAACTCAGCCAGGGGCCTGAGCAGCAGTTCCTCTGCTGAGGATTTGTGGCTTTGAGGTCCTCTGAAAGCTGAAGCAAGCAAGCAAGGTGGAAAAAAAACCCTCACACACGAGCGTGCACACACACAAGCTTGCGTTGGTTACTCCATCTGTTCCAGCAAAGAGTGTGACTAAACTGGAAATGTACAGAGCTGCACTTTTGATGATGGAAGCTAACAGCTGCCTTACTATTTTGCCGTCTGATGTTTTTGGTGGGGGAGATGGGAAAAGCGACTGCCAGAGGAATGTGGTCAGAGGATTCTGTTGCTGTGGAAGCGATTCCAGTATTCACTCCTATCTCATTAGAAGAAATAGTTAGCAGCATCACTCACCAGTCTTATTCCATTACCTGCTGCTTTTAAAATCTCCTTGCAGTTTTCTGGGAGATTGTGTTTCATTTGCTCATGCATGATTCTGTTATTTTACTATTTATTTAAAACCATTGTACAGCCATAATGTAATAATGTAGACCAGCCTGGAAAACTTCAGTAGTTTTCACCTGCTTCAGAAAAACAAAGCCTGTAGCATATGTGCAGTATAGATATTTTCTTAGAAGGCTCAGTTTCTTCACAATTTTTTTTTTACCTAAGCTGGTAAAATCATCTTCCTCGAAGGCTTAGCAGGCAATATGCAACAGTGTTTTAAGCCATCATTTATATCTTCCTAGTGACAGTGGCAAGCAGAATTGTTTTTTTATGCTGTGAAATTTATCGGGATGTATCGGCGTACTGGATGAGCAAGGTAGAATATTTTGATAAGTGTGCCACTCAGCAGTTTGGATCTCAATATTGCAAAATTTTGCTGGCATTTACAGTCTTGCCTGATTGCACAATAGAAACTGTTCATTAACATAATAAATAATTATTTTTAAAGGTCAGGCTTCATGTTGAATACATTCAGGTAGAGCATTTAAGTCTGTTAACAATGACTGATTATCAGTTTGATGCCTTTTAATGTTGTTAAAATGAGTCTGTAATCTTACCTCAGCCAGTTAAAACTTAAGCCTCAAACTTTCATTTGGATTCTTTGTCTTAACTAGATTTACAGTCCTGTGTTTGATGATGTGATCCATTTCCCCCCCTCCCTGCTGTAGTTACTGTATTCCATATTACTCAAAAGCATGCTTGTTTACTTATAGGAAAATTGTACGTGGAGTGGTCATTTTGAAAGTCAGCATTTTAATTAGAAATAAAAAATAAAGGGTTTGGGTTTGGGTTTATCTGAGAGAAAAGAAAACTTTTCAGGAGTTTTATCCTATTTGTAAATTATTGTTGATGTTACTATTATTATTATTTGCATGGTTTAATAGTGAGTTTTCTTCATAACTACATTAGCAATTGTAAGAGGCAGCCCATAAAATGGAAATGAATAAGGGATGGTTTTTATAGCCTGGAACAGCTCAAAGCAGGGCAGTAATACAGTGGCATTTTTTGCAGAAGTGGGTTTGAGAATCCTGTGTTTTGACCAGTGTGGAAATCGCGAAGAAAGCAGAAAGGCAGCAAATGAAACGTTTAACAACTTGTGTTTGTATGTTTGTTAAGGAAGGAAAACTTGTTTTACTTTTAAATTTAGAAAACTACTTCTTAATTGAGATTCAGGTTTTTTAAATTGTAACAAGCCTTGATGTCCTGTATAAACACACTTTCTTATCTACAGTTCACCCCAGTTAAGTTATTGCTTAAAATAATTTTGTAACTGACATTTAAATTTTATTACATGTTTATTTAAAAAAAGAACATGGCTTTTGAAAATGTTTATAAATTTAAGCATGCTATTTCCATTTATAAATATGTATGATTTATAAGCTTTTTTAAAAAATGAAGCTCCAATCAAAAATTGTTGGTATTTTTCTAAAATGTGCACAGCTGTATTTTACATAAAAGGCTATTTATAGATGGTTGTATACTGTACACTAGATTTTGGACAGCTCATTGATCTGCCAATGTACTTAATGATATGTCACTTTGTCTATTTAAAATTTCTTGCTGTGAATGAACTCTTTATCTAATGAGCTTCTTTATTTATAATTCTGGAACCCAAAATGGATAATGTACAGTTTTCTTAACTGTATTTGCTCTAATAAAAAGAAATTGTTACTAATGTGTATATGGGTTTTCTCTTTATATATATTTGAAAGCCTGTGGTCCCCCCCCCCGCAACTTAACGAATGTGAAATTGATTAGCAAACAATATGTATCATTTACAAATGAAAATCTCTTGTCTTACTGCTGTGTTTTCCCTTGCCTCGTACAGATTAAATACTTTATATAGTTTCCAGTTCAATGGTATGAATAATGCTTCTTTAAAGTGAATGAGTGAAAGGCCAGAGATAACATTCTAAAATTGTTCATTTATTAAATACAAAGCACCCCACAGCCCTCATTTCAGAGGCATTATGTGGGCACAAACCAATTGCATAGTAACTCACCAAAATTACTCATCCTAGCTATATCTTTACCCTGTGAGCACATGTAAAGTTACAGATCACATAATAAACTATAGAAAACTTCCTTTAATTCAATGTCATTTTCTTAAAAGTGCCATTGGAGTTATTTCTACAGAATAACCCCTTTCTAAACTATATTTCCATTTCTTATCTAGAGGCACAAAAAGAGTGAGAGCATTACAGTAAGCCATATAATTGTTAAAAGCACACTAGTCAAACGTTTTATTTGGCTATAGTACTCATGGCTGTAATGAAATTTCAGGTCTTTCCAGCATGCGTTTGGAATGAAATGCAGTCCTAATACTGTGAATATATCAGTTTACAAGGAGATTCAACCAGTGACAAGCAAAGGATTTACCTTGCCTGAAATACGATTATGCCAAATTTGTTTTACAATTATAAACCCTTTTATGTTTTATTAAGCTTCTCAATATCCACTGGGTGTTTGAAACAGAAATTGTTAATATGTCCTATTTAAATTGTGTTAAATGGTGAGTTTGCCCCAGTAACACTCTTGTCATGCTGTCATACTTATTTAATTAGGTAATTTTCATACCTGCTGACAAACTGCATAGATGCACACGAGCTATCCAACAATATAAAAGCACAATCAAACAGGATTTGTCATTTTTTAAAAAGTATTCAAGCCAGTTTTCCCTTCACTCGAAACATTTGCTAACAGATGTTCTTCATTCCCATTCTTATGCTAGAGACAAAGAGGATATTAAATCGGAGAACAAAATTATTGTGGTACTTGGAACAAAGTTGTAATTGAGACAGCTAATAATAATGCTGAAAACTGTCAAAAGCGGGCATGATCTTCAGCCTGCTTTACTGAATTGGCACTTGCAATATACATCACTGTGAAGATATTTCTGTGTGCACATATATATGGCATGCATAAATGTTATTTGGGGAAAATGAGTGTATATGTAGAAGATAATGAAGCTGTATAATGTCTGATTCCGATGGTAGCCTGAATTCATTGTAACATGCCTGGAGGTTTCTTGTTGTACAGAGACATCTTAGGATGGGGGTGTAACTGGTGAAAGTGGTCACTGAATCCTTAACTCAATATATAGACTATATGAGAACAATGGTAACAAGTCACCAATTAGTGCAATGCATTCAACTAAAATAGATGGTGCAATGTAACTGAAATATACACAGAGGATTTTAGCATTCTGGGACTTCTGTTTTCAACAGTCTGTGAAATGGTGAATAACAAGTAAGCAACATGTTACAGGCAGTGTTTCAATTTCACAAGACTTTTACCCCTTTTCACTATATAATCAGTTTCTTACCAAGGTAAAGCAGTGCTTGGAAACTAGGAGCATAGAAAGTTGCCATAATAAATCTTAGTCATTATTGTTTATACCAGCATCAGCCAGATGTTCAACTTCAGGTCCATTGATTCCTGTCTATTGGCCATGATGGCTGGGATTGATAGGAGTTGTAGTCCAACAACATATGAGGGCACTACATTAGTTTTGTCTACACTGACTGGTAGCAGTTCTCCGGGGTTTTAAGCAGGTGTCTCTCCCAGCCATACTTGCAGAAGCCAGGGATTAAACCTAGGACCATGTTGCCTTCCCTTACAATCTTGTGCCTATATATTTCATAACGCAAAAAGAAAGTCAAATGTAATTTGGCTTGTGAACTATACTACACGATTTCCTTCTAGGATCAGAATGCAGAAGTACACACTGCTGAACATGGATCCTCTGGGAATTCTTGTCTTACTGTGACCTGATGGTGCAATCATTATTTTAGCACTTGATATATAGGCCCGCAATCTCCTGGGGGAAGAAGAAGCATGTGCTGCAAATTTCTCTTGCTGTTTATAAATTCCGCCTTCATACCTTGAGCTAGGTCACTGGAACTATAGGAAGTTACAGATTGTACTAAATGCCTCCTGATTATTTATCCTCCATATTTGAAGTTCAGCCCCCTTCCCAGAAATATAGCCTTTCAGAATGAGGTGCCAAGCTTCAAAAAAGGTAGGGGTTTACACAGTGTGATGTGCAGGGAAGATTTTACAGTTGCAGCAACTGTGACCCATTTAACATATCCAGAAGCCCCTGTGCAATTGTAACCAAGAATATGCAAGGTTGTCCAGCTGGGATTGTATAAAAGTATCATATGTACCTGACGCATATACTTCATTTGCACAATCATGGCAAATTTAAACAAACCTTGATAAGTCTATCAATGGCTTACTAGCCACACTGGCTTTCTTCAAAGTGTTGTTAGAGGCAATATGTCTCTGAATACTAGTTGCTGGGAATCTCAAGTGAAGAGAGCACTGTTGCATTCAACAGTGGACTTCCTATAGGCATCTGATTGGCCACTGCAAGAAAAGAATGCTGGACTAGATGGGCCTTTGGTGTGTTTTTAATCATAGTGGTTCCATAAACCTGTGGCAGTCCCTAGACACTCTCAGACACAATTATGTGGTGAATCACTAGCTATATGAACTAGGGCCTATGATTTCTAGAACATACACTAGTATAAAGGCCTTGCTGGTATATCCACAAGGCATTGTATGAGGCTCCCTGCCTGTATGTACCAATGGGAGTCATTAGTGTATTTTTGGTTTCTATGGAAGCCGCCCAGAGTGGCTGGGGAGGCCCAGCCAGATGGGCGTGGTATAAATAATAAATTATTATTATTATTATTATTATTATTATTATTATGGCAGATCAATGGCTTGAAATAATCAACATTCTCCAATTTAATAAAAGAACTTTTCCAGCTGGTCACCTGGAAGTAACTGTTGCTTGCAATAAGCATGTAGGAAAGTGGTTCTTTGCAAACATGTGGTAATAGTGGGCTAGATTTAGCTGCTTGCTATCATATACTAATTTCATACACAGCTATTTTAGCCTTTCCAAATGCCATCAGAACCTCTTTCTGGATAGCTAGGTGAAACATGCTAGCCATTAGAGTCCAAAAAAGAGTTTGCCAAAGTACACTTCATTCTTTGTTGGGCTGTGGTCAGGATGTGAAGCAGAGTTAAGGGGATGGCCCCAAGATGGTGGGTGAATGGGCAGTAAACCTGCCCATGTGTTCATGTCAGATAACAAGACCTGGTGCTCTGGAGATGCCTTGCAACCTGAATTAACAAGCAATCCCCCCCCCAAAAAAAACCTACACATTAATAATACACTGTAGCCAGTGGTTGAATAATATTTCCCCTTTTCACCCAACCCCAAAATCGTTCCTCCAGTGCTAAAAGTTTAATGTGCTAGGTAGGGACTATTCTCATAACCATGTAGCTAGGTTACCTAGGCTGAAACCACATGCCAATTTCACAATGCAGTCTACAAAACTAATGGATTGGCTGTTTTGTGGGTTTAGCTGCAAGCTCATCATATGGTGAAGCTATCATGCAACCCTCTCATCAGAGGCACAAATCAGTCTCTAGGGGCACATTCTAGACATGCTAACTAATCAGTTGCCTTGCCCCACACCTTAAAATATGTAGGAGACATCCTTGGCTCATCCCATTACCTAGTCAGAAAGAGGCATACTTTTATCATTATATTTGTCAGGAACTGAACCTTTATACCAGTGGTTCCCAAACTTTTTTGAGTTCCATAAACTCAACTCCAGGGCCCCCTACCCCACCCTATAAATAGCACTATTCAGGAACCACTAAGGAGGGTGATAACACAGCAAAATTCAAAACAGTAACAATTAATTGCTCATTCATTCAAAATCCAATTGAAACTATTTAGTTCAATGAAATTGATAAACTTGACCCAGCAACATCAGCTTTTCAAAGTCTGATAGTCATTTACCTCCAGCACCTTCACCCACCCCCAGGGGGTAGTACCAACCATTTTGGGGGAAACCGCTGTATAGCAAAAACCACCAGATTCCCTAAGATTTTGCTTTGCAGTTACGAGACTGAGAAAGTTTCCTTCTGTGTGAAAGACCTTGAGAACCGATTTGGCCTGCTTGGTGATGCTGGTCATGTTTTCCTTTGTCTTTAAAACACACACACAAACCAGTTTCTTTGCTTTTCTGTGTGTATCTAGCAAGTTACTGCTGTGGTTATTAAACTAAGGCCACGATGTGAGCTCTGCATAAGAAGGTCAATTAATCACAAACACACATGGCTAAGACGGTTTATATTGATTGACTGCATAAACCACTGCAAGGAAAAGGCTTTCCGCGCATGAGATTTCCCTGTTACTAATATAATGGGGGTGGGGTGTCTGAATGAAGAGATAAGACCATATTCTGAATAACAGCTTCCTAAATTCATAACTGCAAATGTCAAATAGAAACAATACGTAAATCGCAACAGAAGACACACAGATATGTAGCTGTTCAGGTTGTTGTTTTTACCAAACATACCTGCTTCTTACGACTAACAGTGAGTTGAATGCAGAATTATGTAAAGTTTAGTAGTGACCACAAGCAGTTCTGTAGTAAAAAGCCATAGCAACTGAAATTTCTTTCTCCATTCCCCAATCTACGCATTACTCTTATTGTTCATTTTTCTCCTTTCCACATGAATGACTTCCTGATGATAATTCATCGCTATAGAGTTTATTTGGCGCTGGAAGGCACCAAATGGCCATTTATCCTGGGGATCCAGAACTGTCAGATACTATCTGTAAGAAGCTAGGCCATCAAGTGAGGCTTATTATTGTGTTGTTTTGAGAGAGCGTAAGGAGTACTATGCATGCTCCAGGAACACTAGCTGGTTCTTGCCTGATAGTGG